AATGACTTCACTGAGGTCTGTGCCACTTTAATTTATTGATAATTATAAGTATTTGGTAAATATTAATCAAATATGACATATTTTAATATACTCTTTAATAATTCAATAAAGCAAGTATTTTATACACTATCAAACTTAATAAAAATTTTATACCTTCAATTTCAATAGGCTGTAGACTGTAAAATGCTCACTTTTTGTGCATCTACCTAGACTGTAAGTTTTCTATACATTAAACCAAGAGATGCATGCATTTCATTCTGTGTGGAATATAAAATAACATCTACAGTTGTAGATGTTAGATCTGTATTTATCAAAGGCATTTTGAAACATTAAAAAAGAGAAGGTATAGTTTGTAAATTATGAGGAAAACATATACCACATTGCCATGCTTTTCAGTACAGACTGAGAAAGCACCAGACATTTTTAGTTTATGTCAGTAAATTACAACAGATGGACCTTTATGTTGCCACCACCAGCAGCAGCATCCTGCAACTGTATCACTATCTCTGGTTCCCTTGTGGTGTTAGTGACCTCAGATTCTAATTCTTCTTGTCTTCTTTTCTGAGTCCTTTGTAACAGTGGTGTCTTCTGAGGAAACATAGCAACTCTTTGGTAACCCAAGATCCTTGCAAGCCTCTGTCTGTCTCTGTCTCTGTCTCAGTCTCCATCTCCTCTCTCTCTCTCTCTCTCTCTCTCTCTCTCTCTCATACACACACACACACACACACACACACACACACACACACACACACACACACCAAGCTCTAAGTCTGTACACATAGTTGTTGAAGTTTGCATCATTTTTAAAAGGCAATCTTTAATATAAAACAGTGGGCTTCTTGAAGGCACTTTCATACACACATAGTATCGTGTTCACCTCCGGTTCTGCCCTCGGCTGCTCCTGCTGCTCTGATCATTTCCTCCTTCCAGATTTTCGCCTTCTGCTTTTATATTGACTCTGGCTTCTGTGTGGGATTTTTATGATTTTTCTTCTGTATCTCTGGTGTATAATGTTGAGCTAACATGTGCGTTTGTAATTCCCAAAATGCTGTGTCTATTACTCTGGAACTTGTAACTTTGATTCAGATAATGTGGTCATTTTTTCTCCTGTTCTCTCTTTCTCCACCTCCATGGGGTTTGCTCTTAGGCCTCCTCACATTCACGAGGATTGTGGAAAGGAGATACAGAACCTGGGGCTGGGTCTCTCCACGGTTTATGAGTCATTGGAACTCGTATTTAAAACAATTTTCCTGACAATGCTGATGCTTTCAATACAGTGAACAAATTTTGGTCTGGACTGCCCTAGACTGATTCTCTAATTGTTCTACTTTTAATATCTAACTTTTACTAACTTTTATTTTACTATTATCTTTGATCGACCTTCTTTCCATCATATTTTTCTGGTTGGCTTACATTTCAAACCTTATCAGTGAGTTCTCTTCCAAGGATTCTGTCTAAAGCAGTGAGAAACAAAACAAAACAAAACAAAAAACAACAGAGACAGACAATGACACAAAGATGCACTGCAGTCTACAAGCCACACCTTCTCCTACTCTTTTCAGAGGGGTCCGAAGTTTTAAGTAATTAGTTATTTGCCTAGTGCCAGTCATTGCTTTCTTTCCCATTAGAATGTAAACTTTATAGCGGTGGGGTTTTTTTGTTTGTTTGTTTGGTTGGTTTTTGTTGTTGTTGTTTGGTTTCTTGTTTTTTGTTTTTTGGGTTTTTTTTTTTTGCTTCATTTTGTTCTCTAGTTCATTCCAAACTTCCCTAATATTATTTGAAAAATACTGACTCATCCAATATTTACTTTTAGCAGTACTTATATTCACATGATGACCTGCAACTTCCTGTGTAGCTGGGGAGGATTTTGACGCATTGTGTGTGAGAAAAGATCTCACTGTATAGTCAGCCCTAGCTGGCTATAGACCAGGCTATCCTGGAACTCACAGAACTCTATCTGTCTCTGTGCTTCAATTAAAGGAGTGTGATACTGTGCCTGTATACTGGATTTGATTTTCTTGCCTCAGTACCTCTTGAGTACTAGGATTACAGGCGTAATATGCTTTATGTTATGCTGGGGGTTAATCCCAGGGTTTGTGCATGCTGGGAAAACTCTCTACAAACTGAGCTTCATATTCAGCCTGGATGATCATTCTTGATGAATCTTTTCAACTTTATCCTTCTAATATTCCTATTCCTTTTCAAATTGCCTAAATTGTATTTTTAATATCTATGTGTTCTCTTGTTTTCTAAGTGATTTTTTTCATTATTCTGTTTGTATTATGGGTAGAATATATTGATCTTAATGTTTGTCTTAATTACTTTTCTGTTCCTATGAAGAAACTAAGGCAATTTGTAAAAGAAAGCATTTGGGTGGCAGCGTCGGGGGTCAGGAGTCGGGGAACTTGCTTACAGTTTCAGAAGATTAGTCATGACCATCATGGCAGGGAGCATGCCGGCAGGCAAGTAGGTCTGGCATGGCGCTGATGGTTTCTCTTTTCGTTTTTGTAAATCCCATTGGATGGTGCTCTTTGAATCCAGATGAGCTTTCCCCTCTCTGTTCATCCCCTTGGACCTCACAGATGCAAACAGAGGTGTGCTTTCTCCACTCTAAGGTGAATATACATGGAGCTAAGGTGACAATGATGATTAACCATCACAGTTCACTTGGGTTAGTGTGGGAGTCGTCCCGGAGGAACACAGTAAATGGGAAGATGATGGTTCTGGGTGAAGCCCTGGCCTCAGCTACAGCTCAAGGAAAGCTCTGAACATCCCATCTTTCCAGGACTGTACTCATCCCCAACCAAAGGAGCTGAGCTGCTGCTTGTTTGTTTTTGCCTTTGTACTGAATAAAGCACAAATTGAAGTGCGTTGTCTGAGGGGCGTGGTGATTTAGGCAGTGGAGAAAAATCTCTGACATGCTTAATATCTCTCAGAACTGGTAAGGTGTTGTCATTGTCCAGAGAGAAAATTCTGAAGATGCTGAGAAGCAACAAGTCTGTGGAAGCTGGAGGATGGGTCTGTGAGCTGGTCCACTGGATCCCAGGAGAACTGTGTAGGCACCAGCTCTATTCGCAAACCAGCCGCTCACTCACAGATAACCAAGGAATGTCACATCTCATACCACATTGCTATTTCTTCTTTTAATCTGTTATTCAGTTTCTCTTTAAGGTGATTTTACAATGAATGAACAACAATATTAATATTCATGTTTTTTCAGAAAAGTCAGATAAAGACCAAGGCTATGTGACTTTCTGACACTTCCACACTCTAAATCTAGAGCTCATTCTAGTACCCTACATCATGTTTGAGTTTCTCAAAACCTTTATACAAAACACTGGGGTGCACATGTATAAGTGACATGTATTTAATTTAGGAATTATTACTTTTAAATTTTGCAAATTAAGAGGAATTATAGGAAGTAAAACCTTTTCAGTCATAAAATTATCAAGCTTGTGCATGTATATATGTGTGTGTGTGTGTGTGTGTCTATGTATTTATATATGTGTAGATGTATGTGTCTGTGTGTATAAGTGTATGTATGTGTATGTATATGTGTGTATACATATGTATGTGTCTATGTGGGTATGGATGTGTGTGTGTGTGTGTGTGTGTGTCTGTGTGTGTGTGTGCGTGCGCACACGCGTGTGCGCCTTCCTCTGCTTTGTAACCCTGTGCTGGTCTTGAACTCACTATGTAGTCCAGGTTGGCCTCTGATCCCCTGACTCAGTGTGCAGGGATTGAGGGTGTGAGGCACTATGCCAGGCGCTAAATGTATTTCTTAATTATGGAAGGAAAAGTTAAGTAGAAAGGCCCACATTAAGATGCCCTTGGTTAAATTCCACTGGTTTAAGTAAAGCTCTTGGAAAGAAGCTTTAAAAGGTTCCCAGAGTACTGATTGGCATGAATTTATTTAGAACATTTTTGGAGTTTGTCTTAGTTAGGGTTTCTATTGCTGTGAAGAGACACAATGATCACAGCAACTCTTATAAAGAAAACATTTAATTGGGGTGGCTTACAGTTTCAGAGGTTCAGTCCATTATCATCATGATGAGGAGCATGACAGCATGCAGACAGATGTGGTGCTGGAGGAGTGGCTGAGAGTCCTACATCTTTCAGGCAACAAGAAGTTAGCTGACATTGCATGTTATCCTGAGCATAGAAAACCTCAAAGCCCCTCCACCCCCTCCCTTCAACAAGGCCATCCCCACTCCAACAAAGTTCACCTCCTAACAGTGCCACTCACTATGATGAAATTATGGGGGCTAATTACATTCAAACTACCACATTTCACTTCCTGGCCCCCATAACCTTGTAACAACATCATAATGCAAAATGCATTTAGTACAACTTCAAAAGTCCCTATAGTCTATCATAGTCTCAACAATGTTTTAAAGTCAAAAGTCCAAAATTTCTGAAATTCATGCAATCTGTTAACTGTAATCATCTGTAAAAATCAAAATCAAACAGCAGATCACATACTTCCAACATATATTGGCACAGGATATACATTACCTTTCCAAAACACAGGGAGGGGAGCATAGTGAGGAAATCTTGGACCAAAGCTAGACTGAAAACCAGTTGGGCATCTCCATGTCTGATGTCAAAATGCTCTCTTCAGGTCTCCAATTCCATTTTGCTTTGTTGACTGCAACACTCTTCTTTCTCTTGGTCTGGTTCTGCTACCTGTTAGCAGCTCTCCTTAGCAGGTATCCCATGACTCTGGCATCTCTAACATCTTTTGTTTTCCAAGGCAGTCCAGGCTTCAAGTAAAATACTTAGGTAAAATATGTTTTAAAAAATACTTTGAAAACTAGGAATTGTAAATGCTCAAATGATGTATTTTTGTGTGTTGTACACAAATTGAGTAACAGTTGCTCCCCTTAATTAGGATTTGTGTTTGAATTTCTGCCTAACTTTCTCATATGCCGAGTAGTGCCTTCAGGTAGATCAATGATGGGGCTTAGTGAAGCCTGTTTCTAATGAATGCTCATGTTCAGTTTCTTGGCAGTACAGAAGTGGAGCAGCCAAAGGGAACAGAAGTTGTGAGAGATGCTGTGAGGAAGCTGAAGGTAAGTAAAGATCTCAGAAAAAATGGCTAGTATATTGGTCTCTTGTCATCAGCAGATTGACTGACGTCCAAAACATGGATAACTGTGGTAGGTATAGCTCCACTGTCTTTAAATTACACTTAAATAACTACCATCTGTTCAAAGAGACATTTTAAAGTATAAACACATTCATACAGTTATTTTGCTGTACATACTATATTTTTATAAAGCATAATTTCTTACAGTCTCTAAAAGCTTTTAAGGCCAGAGTATTTATATTCAGTGGTCAGCTTTATATTTCTTGGATAATATGAACCCATGCTCTAACTCAAAACTGGTAGAAGCAAAATAGAAATTTCTGACAGTTAAAGTATCATATATACCAGTTGAAAATATGGTTAGAGTTGATTACACAGCAGAATTTTGTAGTGCTGCTATACATTAAGGATACCCCAATCATCCATGTCAATCAGCAGTTTTAGGGGAGAATGTGTAACTTAGGGAGCAGAAGAAAATATTGATTGAACAGCCTAAGTAATATATTTCTGGAGAAAAAAATTGTTCAACTTCACGAACTCTTGTTCAGCAAATTTCTTAATAAAATTAGCATTACATACCACAAACATATTTATATAATAGCCCACCTCTTAAAAGTCAGCCTCACTGAGATTTCATTTGGAAAAATTCCTTCATGCATCTTCATGTTGTAAGAGGATCTACAGACCACTACTTTATTTGCAAAGTTAACTTTTCTTCTCTTTGGTTGCTCTCACATTTTGGTGGGTGTAGGACAACCCTTCTGTGATCTTGGTTCTAGATCATATGCTCATTCCACAGGAATATTAGGCCCCGTGGTTTGTTCCAGGCAGAATCATGAACATTCAAAATTACTACTGTGGTTTTGAGAAGGTCAAATGAAGTATATGCAAAGTTTAAATTGAAGGAAAAGATCAGAATGAGATTTGTACTACAGATAAAGAAATAAAGTGGACTATTTAGTCCTGTAAGTAAACATTCTGTGGGGTCCCAAAATAATATCACTCACATTTTGGAAAATGCTCTCTTTAGCCATTTCTTTCCACTATTCGTTAGATGATGATTCATGCTATTCTTCGTCTGAGCAACATTTTTAATCACTAATAGAGGGTTTTATTTAAAGACCTTGTAGTTTGTGGCAACACTTAAAATATGATTGTATTTAATTCTTTTAATAGTGGTCCAAATCCTGGGTTGAGCACAACTTTACTGCAACCAGAACATATCTTAAAAGAACGGTGATGTTGACAATATTTCTTTATACCCTGTGAATTCTTCATTCAGTATCTCAAATATGAAACTAAAATTATTCAATTGTATTATGACTATGCCAAAGAGATATTTGAACTTAAACGGCTTCTAAAACTATGACTAGTTTATATGCATTTTGTCAGGTTTTATATGGCTTCTCTATATAGTTTCATACTTAGAAATGAAGTCTTATTGGGGAATATAATGGACAATAACAAGACAATTAAAATGTATACTTAATGGACAGTAGCTTTTATTAAATGTGTATCTTTCACAATTAATATGTATTTCATAAATAAATTATATTGGTTGAAAAATTTGTTTCTCGGGAGAATGAATGTATACAGGAGAGAATCTTGCACTAGTGGACATGAGTAAGACGATGGTTTTTATATAAGTTTGTTGTAATTGCTTCTTTTATGTTGTGTCAGAGGTCAGAAGCTATGATAAAATGTATCAATACTTATTACACATATTTTTAGTTTTGCTATCATATAGATATGGCCATAGGGTGGCGCTGTGGCTCCATTAGAAATAGAAACTACGAAATGTCCCTGACCCCATTTTGATTTTTTTGCTTATGTTTCCCACACAAGTGTGTCCTGACTCTTTTAGTAAATACATTGTAATGTTGTGCTCAGATTTTTTTCCTCATGTAGTTAAAAATGTTATTTATATTTACTCTCTTTTCTAAGTTTGCATTTTAAAATGTATTGGCTTCTGACATTGGGTAAGGATTAGAAATATAAGCATAATACCGGCTGATGGAACTCTTAAAGAATTTTCAGTTATGTTATTTTTATACTCCTGTACTTCATGACATCTGCTTTATTTTTAACAAAATGTTTCTAACGATTTGGTTATTCACTATTTTGTGACTATAGAGAATTCGTTGTTTATAAACTTCAAAGTATTAACTTGTGTAAGAATGAAAATACTTTCATATTCTGTTTGTCAAAACAGCATGTCATTTTTATATTTCTTAATTATGCTTTAGTCTGATATTTAAAAAGGAGTAAGTATCTAAAAGTATGATACTATAAAACTCAGAGCTGTTATCATTATGAATTTTATTTTCAGAAGGGGTCTGTTTCAACACAATCAGCTCAAACACCTGGACTTAATGTGTGTTCACAATTTGTTATATCTTAATATCAATACACACTGGGACATAGATATTAACTCAACAGCCTCCCTGAGACATACATGAGCAGAGAAAATGTCTTTTGGCCCCAGTTTGAAAGGACTATCTCCTAGTTAAAGAGGTTCTGTTCAAATATGTGAAACTGCTTCAATGTAATACAGCCTTGGGAGTCACTGTCAAGACATGGTCACCAGCCTGCATCTTCATCGTTGGATTTCACTCTGTGTAACATAACTCTGTTATGTCTTCACAGTCTTTTTTCTTCAATTGACCAATTATTATGTAGAACTTTGTTATATACAAACAGCATGATTATTAGGAATGTTTTAGCAGTTTAAGTGTAAGAAACACAAAGTGGCATAAAAGTGCTAAATAATTTACAGATGATGTGATAGTATACATAAGGGATCCTGAAAATTCTACTAGGGAACTCCTAAAGCTGATAAACACCTTTATCGAAGTAGATGCATACAAGATTAACTAAAAAAAAATAATAGTGGCTAGACTGATAAAGATATCAGGGAAACAACACCTTTCATAATAGCCTAATAGCCTCAAATAATATAAAATATCTTGGGGGTAACTCCAGTAAGTGAAAGACTTGTGTGATAAACACTTCAAATCTTTGAAGAAAGAATCTGAAGAAGGTATCAGAAGATGGAAAGATCTCTTATGTTAATGGATCGGTAGGATTAACAGACTAAAAATGGCCACCCTATCAAAAAGCAATGTGCAGATTCACGATTGATCCTACCACAAGGACATTTGTTCAACAATGTTCACTGCAACTTTATTCATAATAGCCAGAAACTAAAAACAACACAGATTTCGCTCAACAGAAGAGCAGATAAAGAAAATGTGGTACATTTATACAATGAAGTATTATTCACCTGTTTAAAAAAAAATGACTTAATGAAATTTGCATGCAAATGGATAAAACTAGAAGAAAAATCATCCTAATTGAGGTAACCCAGATTCAGAAAAACAGATATGGTATATATTCACTATTGAGTGGATATTAGCCATAAAATAAATGATAACCAAGCTACAATCTTTAGACCCAGAGAGGTTAGGTAAAGAGGAAGGGTCTGGGGGACACGGGGATCTCCTTGGGAGGAGGAAATGGAATAGATTTTATGGTCAGACTGGGGGTAGGTGGGAACAGGAGTCGGGGATCAGGTTGGGATAGGTAGAGTAGAAAAAGAAAGTGCAAGGAGAGATGACTGAAATTGGAGAGCATTTGGTGGTAGTGTGGAAACCTACTACAGTGGAAACTTCCTGGACTATATGAAGGTGATCCTAATATGAACTCCTAGTAATGGGGTGTATGGAGTTTCAACTGGCCATCTCTTGTAGTCAAGCAAGGCATCCAGTGGCCAGACTAGATTGCATTCAATTGAGTTGTTGACTGAAAGGGGTCCCATGGAAATCCCTAAACAACCCAGGCTGTTGCAAACATAAAGGGTTGCTGTCTACAAACTGACAACAAGACCCCATTGCCAAGGACAGCACCTGTGTTCCTCAATGAACTTGAAGATGTCCGAGCGGTGCCCACATGGAGCCCTCACCTGTATGTTCTAGTCTCTCTGCTCTGGGAAGGTACTCTGTAGGCTACAGAAAAAGAAACATGGACACCAATCCAGCCACAAAACCTCTCCACTACAATGGTGGCTCAGAACTTATGGGAGGAGCCATCAAATGTCGGATTTGACTTAAGCCCCCTCAATGAGACGGAACCCATACCTGAGACTTCTTGGGTGACCAAGAACCAGAGAGTAGATAGCCCAGAGATACCTAGGGTTAAACCAAACTCTACTGGTCTAAAAAAAATTCAATAAAATGATTCCTAATGATATTCTGCTACACTAGTAGATCAGTGCCTTATCCAGTCATCATCAGAGAGGCTTACTCCAGCAGCAGAAGGGAACAGATGCCAAGACCCACAGCCAAAATCTCCATCAAATCCTTCCCCTCAGATCTCAGGGAATACCACTGAAGAAGAGATGAAAAGATTGTAAGAACCAGAGGAGATGGAGGACACAAGGAGAACAAGGCCCTCTGCATCAACTAAGCAAGGCTCATATGGGCTCTCAGAGACTGAAGCAGCAGCCTGGGGCCTGCACGAGTCAGCACCAGATCCTCTACATGTGTGCTGTAGCATTAGCTTAGTATTTTTATGGGACTCCTGACAGTGAGAACGAGTGGATCTCTGATTCTTGTGCCTGCTCTTAGGACTCTTTTCCTCCCATTGGGTTGCTGTGTCCAACTTCAATGTGATAGTTCCAGCTTGATTGTACTATCTTTCATTTTGTCATATTTGGTTGTTATCTCTTAGAAACCTGTTCTTTTCTAATGAGAGACAGAAAGGGAGTGGATCTGGAGCAGAGGGTAGGTGGGGAGGAATTGGGAGGAGTAGAGGGAGGGGAACTATAATCAGGATGTATTGTATGAGAAAAAATTATTTTCAATAAAGGTAAAAATACACATAAAGTAGCATAGAATTGCCAAATTAATAGGACCAAAGTATTAAATTAATTTTCTTGCCCACTAACATATTGTAATGGAGTTAGATTTCACTTTTCAAAATGTCCTTTGAGAGATGTATGGAAATTGCGTAAGGACAGCATCAAAGTCAATGCTCTTTAAATTTTCATTGCAAGCTCTAAATAGCAGTGACACATGTTTAACTAACTTTATAATTTCAAATAGCATTTCATTTTTTCATCATGTTATTGGTACAAAGCCTGTGTTTTGATGCTGTATTATAATGGTGTATAGAATGCTTAGGTTTCACATCCTTTGAACCTTTTTATTAGATTGTTCAAGTTACCAGGATAGATCATTCCATCTATGTAGATCTATAAAGGAAGGAATTCAGAAGAAAAATTGAGAGAGACATTTGTTAATGAGACTGTTCAAGTAGTTACAGTAAAATAATAAGTAAGAAAGAATGTAGCCAAGGATAAGAGAGCATCGTGTCATGCACTGTCTCTCATCACTCCTGAGTGAGAATAATTTTGGAACACCATTAAGAAGTCCACAAGTAAGAAAATCAAGCAGAATTAAGATGGGAGCCTGCAAAGTCGTGTGAGCAGTGACCTTTACTTTTAGAAGAAAAAAAAAGCAGAGAGGCAGTAATTATCAAATTATTTAAGATATAAAACTGAGTGAGTCTAATTCTAGATACCAGACTTTTGCAAATATTTTTCAGCAATCATGTCACAAAACTGATGGGAACCTTGATATACATAAAAATGAATCAAAACCTTTTTATGTTTTAAATGTAGAAAATGTGATGTTAAGTTGGGCGGCAGTGGCCCACGCCTTTAATCCCAGCACTCGGGAGGCAGAGCCAGGCGGATCTCTGTGAGTTCAAAGCCAGCCTGGTCTACAGAGTGAGCTCCAAGACAGCCACCAAAATTACACAGAGAAACCCTGTCTCGAACAAAATAAAACAAAACAAAAAAACAAAAAGAAAATGTGATGTTACAGGAAGTGGTCTGAGTGCAAGGGGGCAAGTGTGGCTTTCAGGCTGCTTGTTACCAGCTCGTTTCATACCTAGGGTGTTTAAGGACATTAGGAAATGGAGTTTGGGTTGGATGAGAACTGAGAACTCAAGGTTCTTTTAGCACTGTTAACTTCGTCTTGACATGAAGTAGGGGAGGGATGCCAGAGGCTTACACCAGCTGGATAGCTCTTTTTCTTGTCTGAACATCCTCCCTTTCCTGGGGCTCTCCCTTTTCCAGCTCTCCTCCGTGTGTGTGTGTGTGTGTGTGTGTGTGTGTGTGTGTGTGTGTGTGTGTGTATGCATGTGTAACATCAACACTCTTTCCTCTCTTCATTTCTCCCATTTATTTTTTTCTTTCTAAACAGAGAAGTTTTAAATTACTGACTGTAGCAAGAGTTTCATAAAATACAAGGTTACATGATTCTTGTCCAAGGTCACAGGAATTGTTGTTTCCAGATGGTGAAAAGTCCTTGGAAGCCATGGCATGGCCCTGCAAGCAGCACAAGGTGGCTTTTCTCAGGTGGCCTCTGTAGGTACAGAACACTGAACAATTGGTACTTTAATACTTCGTGCATGGAAATCTCAGAATTGCTTAATTATGCTAAGTCAAAAGGATAGTAGAATTGGAAAAGAAAGCTAATACACATTCTTTGAGGGAGAGCTGGGATAACTTTTGGATTGCATGGAAGCAAAACACGTTTCTTAAAGACCTAAAAGTATTTGGCACACTTTGGATGTCATGTGTACACTGTAAGGCTTCTAGAGACAAAAGAAAAAATAATAACTAAGCAGCTTATGTTCAAAGGAATGCAGGAAAGAGCAGGCTGAAAAATTATGCCACCCAAAGTGGAGTAAAACAAATAGCACCAGCTGGGATTCGAAGGCAGACACTTCAAGGCACTCCTGTAGGCATTAATTACGTTCCTCTCTGTGGTAGTGCAAAGACGTGAAATAAGAAGGCTTTGAACACTCTGCCCTGGGAACAACTATACCATGCATGCTCACATCTGCCCTAAATTAGAGTGAATTGCACAATGCAAATAAATAGGACACACAAGAGCCCTGGAGCCCTGCCCAACCTCACATCTGATCTATTTGAATCAAGTTCAGAGGACTTTCCATATGCTGAAAATGAGTTGTGGAAGCTCTGGGAATGGGGTGAGCAATCCTACTACTTTAAAAGTCTCCTTTTTCTTTTTTAAAAAAGTCATATGGAGGGAAGGAGATAAGAATAGGGGGTCAGAGGGGTTGCCAGCTGAAACCAGAACATCCAGTGAACTAAAGAAAGAGGGAGTTGGACAGAAACTGGGACACCCAGTGAACTGTGGACTCAGGTAAGTAAGTAGCAAATAGACTAAAGAGGATTACAAAATAGTGCCCAGGACACACTGATTCTAATAGCACATATATGCTGTATGTGTGTGCATAGGTAAACATTTGTGTGTATAATATTAAATTTTTATAAACATGTCCACTGTTTAATATTTCAAATTCAATTGGAATCTTATTTTTCATCCAGTAAATCTGGAGAAGCTGGGGAGAGATAGGCAGAAACTTCCTCTGACTGAGAGCACAACCGCTTTGATTTTCTTTTAGATTTTACAAAGATCCTAACAGATGTATACATGTGCTTTAAATGAGTGGCAAGACATAACACCACACCTATGAAAGTAGTGAGAAACCATTGTGTCTCCAAGATGCTGGCTGTGTTTATGATTCCAAAGCACATGTGACTCCACAGAGGAGTCATTCATGTGTAAAATGACTGGAGCTCTTAGCTTTGGTTCAGATGTGTCAGTTGGTGTCATCTTTTTGGTTTGGATGAAAACACGGTGTACACAACTAGGTAGGTGTCACTCAACAGCAGATGAGCAGCAAATTCTGAGAACGTATTAAAATAAAATTATCTCAAAATGAAGTAATCTCTACCTACCATCCCACATGCTTTCTTTGCTGGTTGGTACACATTCAGCCTTTTAATTATCATGTCAAAAATGTCTGAAAATCAAGGTTTTGGTGTTTTTCTGGGGGGCAGGTTGTTGTTGTATAATTATTAGGATCAGCGAGGCATGGTGGCTCGTACCTGTAATCAGAGCACTTGAGAGGGCCAAAGCAGTGGATTTGAGCCCAGCCTGGATCTACATAATTATTCTAGGCTGGCATGGAATATAGAAGAAGAGCTTGTCTCAAAAAGAAAAGTCAAGCAAATGAACAAAAACCAAAGGAAAAAGAAAAAGTAAGTCACTGCAAATGAATCTGAATTACAATGGCCTGGCAGACAGAGAGGGTTACTGAGCAAAACTGTTTCTATGAGATGCTTTGTAATGGGCAACACCTGAATTTATGAATGTCTATTATGGACACAAACTCCAAATGTACATTTATGCTCATTTTCCACAGGAACAGAACCATAACTTTGTGAATTTCTTTGTCATTTGTAGTTTGCAAGACACATCAAGAAATCTGAAGGCCAGAAGATTCCTAAAGTTGAATTGCAAATATCAATTTACGGAGTAAAAATTCTTGAACCCAAAACAAAGGTAAGGCTTGTTTGTGAGAGTTGTGCTGCCCTAGTCTTCAGCCAGTGACAATTACATCTATTTTCATGGATTTTTAAAATTTGTTACCAACTTTTAATGTTTGGTTCTTAGTGATGTATTTAAATGTATGTAGGAATTTGGGAAAGGGAACAACTTTTAGAATCCTGGAGCATCTATTCTATAGCCTATGCCCCACACATAATAACATATAAAGTATGTTCAGTACTGGTAGTGCCTGTATTTAGAGATTTCTATTCACATTATGTTCAAGATGCATATAGTACAGTTTGCTGGGTACAAAAAAAGACAAAAGCTGTGCAGTGTGTTAAAAAGTCCTTTCTTGGCCGGGTGGTGGTGGTGGTGCACGCCTTTAATCCCAGCACTCGGGAGGATCCTTGTGAGTTTGAGACCAGCCTGGGCTACCAAGTGAGTTCCAGGAAAGGCGCAAAGCTACACAGAGAAACCCTGTCTCGAAAAACCAAAAAAAAAAGTCCTTTCTTGTACATACAACTGATGTGTATAAGTTTTCTACGGCAGCTATGACAAAACGCCAAAGGCTGGATAACTTAAATAATAACAACTTATTTCCTTTGTAGTCATGAGCCTAGAATCTCAGTATCCATCTGTCCACAGACTCAGTCTCCTCCCTTGGCACAGCTGGCTGCTGCTGTATCTTCACATGTACACACACTTCAGAGTCTTTGTATGTCTGGGTTTTATTTGTTAGTTTTGTTTCTAATAAGGACACCAGATTGAATTAAGGATCATACAATGCCTTAATATGAACTGAATTTCCTATATAAATGCCTTATCTCCAATTAAAAGCAAACCTTAAGCAGTTCCATGTTTGTATCAACATATATTAATTATACACAATAATGGGTTTCATTATAATACTGTCATATGTATATATAATGTATTTTGATCATAGTTATTGCAATTGCCTTTTCTTGTTTTCTTCTACTCCCAATAGTTCCCTTTCTCTGCCCCCAATCAGCCCCCTTCCACTTCCTTCTTCTTTTTTTTCCCCCAATGAGTTTTATTAGTATTGCTTATAGGAACATGGTGAAGGGCTATTCACTTTATCATTTGCTCTCCCCCTGAAGAAAAGGTCTCTCCCTTTACCATAGACTCACTATAGATTCTGTTGAAGTGGTGAGAATTTGTGTTTCTCTTCCACTGCTCACAAGATTTGTGTTAGAACCAATCTTGGATAAGTCTTGTGTGGGTAATTACAGCTGCATTGAGTTCAGAATGCACCAGGCATGTCATACCCAGAAGCCGGTATCCCACATCTCTCCATCCCTTTCTATGGCTCTTACATCCCCTCATCTTCTGTGAGAACCCTGAGTCCTGGAAGGAGTGATAGAGATGTGTAACTTTCAGATGAGTACTCAGCAATTACTTTTCCTCATCATTTCAGCAATCACGAGTCCATGCCGCTACCACTGACCTGCAAAAGGAAGTTTTTATGGCCCAAATTGACAACACTAATCTATGGACATATAAATGTAGTTATTTAGGAGGTAGTTTGGTGACACATTATGTCCATTTGGTAAACAACAGCAGTGATTTCCTTACTAGGACTTAGGACTTCTATGTCTATGGGCTTTGACCAGGTCTACAGTGCCAGACAGGAATTCTCTCCTCTGATGCAGACTTCAAATTCAATCAGAAAGTGGTTGGTTGTCCCTATGATAGAGACTTGCCACAGTTGTACCAGTGGGCTCATCTTGCCTGTCCAGTTGATAGTATAGCATGCAAGGACTGGACTTAGTAAGACTGCATTGCAGTTCTTCCTCAGCAGCCTACATAGCACCTCCTGGCACTGTGAGAGCAAACCAATAGGAAGAAAGCTCCTGGCGAGGTCCAACTTGATTTTTCCATGTCCCGTGGCTGACACTTATGGCATTTTCAGGAACAGGGTTTTGCCATCTAGTTCTGTTGGACAGCAAACAACAGTGGCAATAATATTTTTATCTGGGCTCCTCGGGGGAATCCTTGATCAATAACTCACAGGAGGTAACCTACCTCTCTGACATAGGGATTTTCATTTAACAACTTAGGCTTCCCAGGAGCAGCTTTATCTTATTTATGCAGGGTCCTTCCATTTAAACTCATTGTTTTTATATTTTATACTTTTAACCTGTCTTACCAATTATCGGTCTTCCTTAGGGTTTTTTCATATATTGTTAGTTTTAGTTGATCTTCTCCCCTGAGCCCCTAGTTTTAGTTGATCTTCTCCCCTGACCCCCTAGTTTCTTCCATCTCTTTACCACCCTCCCTATTCAGTCCTTGCACCCCAATAGTAAGTCTTTAAGTCAAACAGTACTTAGGAGCACCCACCAGCATGAGCAATGAGGCTTAAAAGTCAAATATAAAAATGGTAGGGAGATTTTTAATTGGCTACAGCTGGATGTCTGCCTTATTTAGACATGGTGCAATGAGCTGGCTGCCGGTGATTGGTTAAAACCCAGCTGTATGTAATTGGCTGAAGCTGCACTGTTTGTATTATGTCAAGTTAGGCCATTTACGAACTCTTGGCTTGTAGTTTGTTAGGCAAGAAACGAAACAGGCAAGCAGCAAAAAAACTAGTGAGTTCCTGCTTATTTCATTAAACATTTCTGATACAATTATAGTTTACCATATTGGGAATGAGTTCTTTGGGCAGAAGAAAATGAGGTCTAAGGCCCGACATTGTCTACAGAATCCTAAACTTATTTTTAAAATTTATTTTATTTATGTGAATGGGTGGTTTGCCAGCATGTGTATCTACAGCACCACCTGCATGCATGGTGCTGACAGAGGCCAGAAAGGGCATTAGGTCCCCTAAAACTGGAGTTACATATGGTGCTGAGAATTAGACTCTGGTCCTCTGGAAGAGCATTCGGTGTCTTAACTGCCATCTATCCAGACCCAGAATCCTAATCCTTTCATGTATTTGTAAATAGTTGAGGGATCTTGACATGGATACACACGTGGTTCCTTTTCCTAGATCCATTGTTATAGAATGATGGTGTCCTTCAAATTCAAGGCCTGAATTTGAAACTTGTTAATGCACCTTGTAGTGATTTCCTATTGTACACCCACCCCCAGTTAAACAATAAATAAAGACCTGAAGCCCTTAGTTACATCTGTTCCAATATAACTGCTGCTGAAAACAAAGAAGTGAAGTGATGGAGAGTGAGAGTGTCATTACAGGCCACCATATATGTAGATTGCTTAGATACGAGATAATTAAAAGTGAGGCTCATTTCCCAAATGGGTGGCTAGGCTGAGAAAAACTCGTCAGGTATATGACATGTGCAAAAAGGACAATCGACCAAGAGAGTAACAAGTACAGGGCAGCACTATAGTGTACACCTCACTTGTATCCTGTAATCAGCTTAGTTCCTAACAGTGTACACTTAGCATGCATGATCCAAATGTTTCATTGTTCTATACTTAAAATATTTAGACAATACAAGTACAATTAAATAGAGTGTGTACAGATAATTTCTTTAGTCTTTTCAATTGAATAATGTCATATCTTCAAAAAAGTACAATATATAAAGACTTAAGACAATCCATGTTGGTCCCACTTAATAAATAAGTATGAGGGATCTGTCGCCATGTGAGACTGAGGAAGGATACGTGTGGACCAGTGTCACCAGTAGTAGTTGAGAAGACTGTGAATTACAAATTTTTATTTAACCTGTTGTGTGCTGCATGATTTTAATCTGCCTTTTATAAGACAGTATTTCTGTAAATGAACAATAGGAAAAAGTTCTCTAAAGGATTCCAACAAATAGTTCAGACATCTCTTTCTTCTCTCTTGGCTTTTTGACCATTTGGTGAAATACTTCTTATTAATCCCAGTAAGCAGTATCTTCCTGTAGATGAATGGTCTTGTTAAATAAGAAACACAGAGCCAATTTAGAGATGAAAGCCCAAGAGGTCACAGCTAAAAACCTTACCCTTCACTGCTGCTGTTGTCCTCTTCAGCAAGAGACCTACTTCCTGTCTGCTTGTCTTTTTTATAGACTTTCTATTCTGCCTTCTCATTGGTTGTAAACCCAACCACATGACCTCCTCGTCACTGCCTGTCTGTATAGACCTCCAGGTCTTCTATGGTTGGTATTGAGATTAAAGGTGTGTGCTACCACTGCCTATCCTAAGTATCTAGTGGCTTTCTGTTCTCTGACCCCAGATAAGTTTATTAGGGTGCACAATATTTTGGGGAACACAATACCACCACATCTTCCAGTTGGTCCCAGCTGCTTCACTAGGTTTTGATATTTTACCTGGGAATTCAGAGTCATTTTTCCTTTAATTTTTAAATATGACAATAGAATTACAAAAAAAAAAACAAATTTAAAAGGACAGGGAAAGAAGAGAGAAAAGAGAGGAGGTGCTAATAGGTGATTATTGTCCAGCAAAAACAAAAAAAAAATACTCTGAATAGACTATGAAATCGATTTTAGTGTAGAACAAGCCTGTAATTTGTGAAAATCAGAGTAAAGGCAAGAGAGGCAAGAGGTTGAATGATGTTCACCTGTGTTCTTCTTGTAACTAGATAACCCTGTTTTCAGATTTCTGCCAGTTAATGCTTCTCATTGCCAGCTTGTCAATCTGTCATTCTGTCTCCTAAACTGTTCTTGTCAAAGTCTATGTTTTCATGAGTAAACTCCATCAGTAAAATGTTGGTGCAACAGGATTTGATGGAACACCACTAGTGAATTAACTTTTGATCATTCCTGACAGCCTTACTCAGATCAATAATATTAGTGTCCATCCTTGTCCCAGACCTTCAGCTCCCTCTGCTGAACAGCATTCTTACAAATGGACTGTTGTATGCTCTCCTCAAAAGTGTTCATGTACAGGAAGACTAGACTGTGTGCATGTACAGGAAGACTTGACTGTGTGCATGTACATGAACACTTGACTGTGTGCATGTATAGGTAGACTTGACTGTGCATGTGTACAGGAAGACTTGACTGTGTGCATGTACAGGAAGAATTGACCGTGTGCATGTGCAGGAAGACTTGACTGTGCATGTACAGGAAGACTTGAGTGTGTGCATGTGCAGAAAGGCTTGACTGTGTGCATATCAGGAAGACTTGACTGTGTACATGTGCAGGAAGACTTGACTGTGTGCATATCAGGAAGACTTGACTGTGTGCATATCAGGAAGACTAGACTGTGTGCATATACAGGAAGGCTTGACTGTGTGCATGTACAGGAAGACTTGACTGTGAATGTACAGGAAAACTTGACTGTGTGCATGTACATGAAGACTTGACTGTGTGTATATCGGGAAGACTTGACTGTGTGTATGTACATGAAGACTTGACTGTGTGCATGTGCAGGAAGACTAGACTGTGTGCATATACAGGAAGGCTTGACTGTGTGCATGTGCAGGAAGACTTGACTGTGTGCATATCAGGAAGACTAGACTGTGTGCATATACAGAAGACTAGACTGTGTGCATATACAGGAAGACTAGACTGTGTGCATATACAGGAAGGCTTGACTGTGTGCATATGTAGGGAGACTAGACTGTGTGCATGTGCAGGAAGACTTGACTGTGCATGTACAGGAAGACAACTGTGTTCATGTACAGGAAAACTTGACTGTGTGCATGTACATGAAGACTTGACTGTGTGCATGTACATGAAGACTTGACTGTGTGCATGTATAGGAAGACTTGACTGTGCACGTGTACATACAGGAAGACTAGACTAAGTGCACATACAGGAAGACTTGACTAAGTGCACATACAGGAAGTGTCATCTTTTCACTCCATTGGGAAAAATAAAAGCTACTCAGAGAGTTACAAGCTCTGTTAAACACCAGTGTCCCCAAGACACTGTTGGAATGTTGATGTCTGTGGTCATACTGTGCCTCTGAGAATCAGTTCTCATGAGAAGTCAGTCATGTGGTATGTTTGAGAGAAAGGAGATGAGGTGAGAGTAATACATTTCACCAGGAACTCTCACACACAAATTTAGAAACCACTACTTCAAGAGAAATAAATGAATCTAATAATAAAAGTCACTTTATTTAAGTTGGAATTTATAAAAAAGATCAATTAAACATGAGGCTCTTAAATTTATTTATAGATATATGTGTAAGAGGTGGGATTTTTAAATACACTATTAATCAAGAATGACCTTTCTTTACTGAAACTGTTTCTTTCCCACTTGGGTGGGTAAAATTGAAATAAATGCAATCTGTAGCAGCTATCACCTATGCTTTTCTCATTTCTACTTCTCTTAATTATTCTGTAAATGAAGCATGTGATTCTGGAAACAGTGGGCACAGAGAGAAATACATATTAATCTTTTTTATTTCAGCTGTAATGAATGGTATTGATTATAAATATATGTGTGTTTTGTTGGTGGTGTTCCTAAATCTCTTTATCACATCTCACAAAATTAGTTCTAGATTTAATATACATGAATTTTATCACAAGGTGGACTGTATAACTGTATACAGAAAAAGTTATCCTTAAATACAAGAAGCTCTGAGTTCAATCCCCAGTACCTAAAATGAAAATCAAAGCAAGAGAATGAAGGTATAGTCCTCAGCGCTAGTCTTCTTTCTTAGGAAGATGACTTTGCTAACTGCCTTAGTTTGTTTTATTGTTGCTGTGGTAAAATACTACAACAAAAACTGTGTAAGGAAGAGTTTTTAATCACCGTTCCTGTTACAGTCCGTAGTAGAGGAAGACAAGACAGCATTTATTGAAGCATTCTGTGACATTATGTCCTCAGACAGAAGACAATGATGAAGGCATGTTAATACTCAGCTTCCTTCTCTATGCATTCTAGAATATCCTGCCCAGGAATGGTCCCACCCACAACAAACATGGGTCTTTCCACATCAATTAATGTAATCAATATAATCACCTACTGATATGCCTAGGGGCCTGTTTCCTGGTGTGATCCTTGGGTCTTCTCAAGGAGACAGTTAACACAAACCATCACACCAATATAAACAAATATTAGGCTAATGCAGAACTGATTACAACCAAATACCCTACGTGACCATACTGGTTGGGTGGATAAAAAATGGCACATTGCACCACTTGCTACAGAAATGATGTGTTTATTCTATAAGTAGGTAGAAATAATTGTAGTAGGAATTTTAAAAGGTCTTACTAATAAAGTCAAACCTGAACCAGGTATTGGGGTGAACACTGGAAGATCAGAGAGACAGAATGGGCCACAGCCACCTCACCTCGCCAGTTCTTCAGCTGATCCTGTTTCCTCAGATTGGAAGCCTCTGTGTCCTCATCCCAATGGGTGTCAGCTGAACTGCTGCTCGAAGCCTAAAAGTTTAACCTTATATATCTTTCTGTTTTTGCCATCACTTCCTGGGATTAAAGGCTCACTTCTTGGGATTAAAGGCGTGTGTCACCATGCCTGGCTGTTTCCAATGTGGCCTTGAACTCACAGAGATCCAGAGGATTTCTACCTCTGGAATGCTAGGATTAAAGGTGTGAGAGCCACCATTTTCTAGCCTTTGTATCTAGTGGCTGTTCTATCTCTGACCCCAGATAAGTTTATTAGGGTGCACAATATTTTGGGGAACACAATACCACCACATTTCTTGGTTAAGAGCACTGACTGCTCTTCCAGAAATAATTAATCACTTTTTTCTGAACCATATAACAATAATTATACAGTTATACAGTTGTATAGTCATTATTTTCTGAACTGTATAATGATAAGAGGGAAATGTAGCATAAACATGGTTATATAGTTATTAATGATATATACTAGCTATCAGTATTCAGAAACTGCAGTATGGCTCAGGGTTGTTATTTGATTGACTGTATTAAAACAAAAATATATATGTCAATATGAAAAAAATGTTTGCAGTATCAGAAAAAAATGTGAAAAAAAATCTGAGACATATACAGTCATTGTTTATCTATGCATTAGCGTCAAGAAAAAGTAGATGCCCTCATCAATAGCCTATTGACAAAAAGAAGAAGAATATGAAAGTAGGAGAGAGACTTTTAGAGAAGAGAAAGGATGGGGTAGCAGAACTTACAGTGGACAATGGGCTAGATATGATGAAAGTATGTCCCATGTATGTATGGAATGTCACAATGAACCAATTATTCTTTACAATTAGTATGTGCTAGTTACGAAAGCCTACATACTACTCTTTCTAGCACTATCCCTCTCTCCAATAGAAGTGTATAGATCAGGAATGTCTAAGCATATTAGCCACACAGTATCTTTCCCATTTCATATTTAAGCTCATCCAGCAAATGCTTAGTGACCTGTCATTCAGCTGACACTCAGGGGATAATGCATTGCTACAGATGAATTCTCTTAGCATTTATTATCTGTGACATTTAAGTTCTCATTTTCAGTCTGATAAACAAAGTAGAAATAAGAATGGTAGATTATATCAAAGCAAGTATGCATGTAAAACACAAAAAGATAATATTCTATGCCATCATTGTTACTGATTTTGATGACAATCTTTGAGTTTCTGATTCAACTGCAATAAATACAGGAAAAAATGTTTATAGCAGACACTCTGGTGTTTAAAATTGCAAAGACATTCACCTAGTCAGCTTTGGATGAAACTACAATAGCTCCCATCTCTAGTCTTTTACAACACCCACCAAATGTGATGACAAGAGTTTCTGACTGACATTGTGTGTTATAATGCACTTTGAAATAAAGAATGCATATAGCTAGAGTAAAAAACAGAATGATTATTGATTATATTTTATTTTCATCACTTACAGTTAAGTATAACGTAAGATTTTTTTCTAACCCCAACGTGTTTCAGAAAACTATGGTGATAAAGATAATATTGATGATGATCCTGAGTTTCATAATTCAGTGGTATGTGGATGTATGTGTGTGTTTGTGCACCGATGCTGCTACTCTGTTTGGTTGAGTAGTTGTCTTTCTGCCAATTACAAGCCCTGATTCAGTCATCTGCAGGCTGTCGTGTTAACAGCTCTATGCTACCAAAGTTGCAAGGATGACCTTCCTGTAAAGAAAAGTGAATGAGTGAATGAATAAGCATCCAGAACTGCTATTTAATGAGAGAACTCTGGATGAGTTATTACTGGGGCTTGTGTGAACTTGTGCAGAGGTGGTTCTGTTCTAGATGACACTGCTAATTATTACCAGTACAAGAAAATGCAAATAATTTGGCAGAATTTGTTCTTTTGGAATTGTTTTAATTGTATCCTATTATGAAAATACTCAAGATTTAAAGAATATGGTTTTTAAATATCCTCTGTACCTTAGGAACCCTGTGACCCACTGGTCCTCCTTTTTTCCAGTATGGAGTGGTGTGTGCACCATTGCAGTGAATGTCTTGTTTCAACATTGAGTCAGGAGTTTCATCTCCATCATGTGTGTATTTGTTTATATCTAAGGCATGTGCATTTATAAGAGCAAGGGTTGACAGGTGACCGCTATGCTTTCAAAACTCTAAGATGTGTTGTTAACACAGCTGACATTTCAGAATGAATTACATTTATTCCCCTGCTCATGTTCGCAGGAAGTCCAACACAACTGCCAGCTTCACAGGATCTCATTTTGTGCAGATGATAAAACAGACAAGAGGATATTCACTTTCATATGCAAAGATTCCGAGTCAAATAAACATTTGTGTTATGTATTTGACAGTGAAAAGTGTGTAAGTATGCCAGATGTTTTAGGGCGGTTTGTTCTCTTTTCCAAGCCAGGGATTGTCTTGTTTCCGGTATGAACAAAGTATTTGGAAATGAATAAGGCCTGCAAATGCTTAACTGCATTAATAGGTCCATCCTGTCATGAGAAATGCCTTCAGGATTTCATTCTAACTAATTGCTTATGTTCATTAACAAAAGCTCGCATGCAAATTTTTTTCATTAGAGCATCATGGCTACTTTTATATGTTTGCATTTATATCAAAATAGTGTAGTGTATTTTAACTTTTAATCTAAAAGTTATTAACTAATGTCTGCATGATGTAAAGAGGAGCAGTGAGCAAAGTGAGCTTTTCCTAGAATATAAGGAATTTAGTGACGACAAATACTTTAAGCTGAGGAATAAATGCTGTATGGCTTCTTAAATCGTTTCCAATTCTTTGAAAATTGGTTTTTGGTGTTTATTATTCAGAACACTTAACATAAGTAGTAGTGTTGAGGCCCCTTCCCTGTGTGTGTGTGTGTGTGTGTGTGTGTGTACACTATGAATGAATTCTGAGATTCTTAACATGTAAGGGTGTTTGAGAAATTCTTTAATGCAACAATTCCTTAATCATCCAACATCTTAAAGAAAACCCTGTGTCTTGCTTATAAGGGTAAGCTAATTTTCATAGCCAAGTCTGCATTCTGTTATAAAGCCTAATCTGAGCACATATTGCAGCCATTGATGGCGTCAATGGAAAACCATCCAACCTCAACAACACTGTTGGATTAAAATGGAAATAGAACTAAACTCATTTAGATTCTATTTTTTCCTTGTTCTCAAAAATAGAAAATTACTAATGTCTTGATTAGGTGGTTTATTTATCTGGTTTTTCCATGTGGACTTTTTGAAAATAAATACCTGTTTATTTTATACTTATTTCTTACACCAGGTGGATAACAGATACCCAGCAATATTTTTTTCTTGATGGAAAATACAGTGTTTAAATTTACTCAAAGTAGCTAAATTATTTCCTACATCTTTTAAAATTTAGAGCTCTTAAAAAACAAGTTCATGTGGTGACTATTTAGCATCATATAAGATTTATTTGGAATTTTGTAAATGTTACAGATGATGTAAACATCATCTGAAAAGTATGCTTCTGAACACAAGTCAGTATTCTACAGACAAGAGGGGACTTTATATGGAGACCACATTATTTATAATTCATCCCACTTCACAAATGCACCATAGTTGCATATTCCTATGCTTCCTTCCAGCATGTTGTTTGCATGATTGAGAATATTAAGGCAGATATTCCTAAAATAATTTCTATTTTAAGATATAACACACTTTTAGCATTTACACCAAAGCAATAAACTCAGTTTTCTTTCATCCATGCCTTGAACATGGAAATCAACTTCCTTGGAATCCTCTGAAATGGTTCATAATTAGAATTCATAATAAATACCAACATTCTTATAATTATGTACTACTTCACAATCTTTTCTTGATACCCATCTAAATCTATTATGTTCATAAAGCAAAAGTGAGTTTCTTATGTAGCTACATCATATTTTTTTAAATTATAGGTCTTTTTTTTTAACCTCAAGGACAATTTTATTAGAGTTTAATTGTTGAACTTATATGGAAGGCACGTTATAAATCCCAGCATCTGTCTGGAGGAGGAGAATGATGAAGGAATAAAACCCTCCATCTGAGTTACTGACATGGAGGCTTGCCTCATGGGGAGGAGGGCATTAGAGAAAGAACAAAGAAGCTCAAAGTGTTGGGGAAAGGATGCTTTAAAAAGATAAAAAGAAAATGAGAAATATTAACGCTTTTATGAGTAATTCGGACAAAGGGGCTGACTTACAAAGCTGTGTGCTGTGGTCCAGTAAGCTACCGCATAGAGGCCTAAAATTCTGGGAAAGGAAGATGTAGTCTCTCAGCAAACCCACCTTTCTAAGATTGGGCCTGCTTTCATGTGCTCAAAGAGGAACTGTTTCCTCAGTTGCATTGTATTTTTTCACTACATATTTAATTATATCTCTAATTAAAATATCAACATAAATGTAATGTTGACTTGATCTATATGCAGAAATTTTGACATGCCACCCTTTCTGCATCAAAGACTGCAGAAATTGTTTCCCAATGTGACATTTAGTAACAGAATGATGGAGAAATCTAAGTCTTCGGAGTTGCATCCTTGTTCTCAATCTCTTCCCATTAAGACATACCCCTTTCTCCATAGTGACAGGAGAAGCAAAAGAAGCCAGAATTCCACAGCGAGAAAGCTTGCCCTCTGTCACCACCAGGCAACAAGGCTTCTTTTTGCGTTCATTTTCCTCCTGGAATTGTGTCTAAGATAACACCTAAAATGGGGGTTGTAAATTTCTCAGATTTGTCGGTAGCCCAGAATACCTTAGATTGAACCAAATATCACTCTTCATATCAGGAAACAGAAAATCTTAAAGTAAATGAAAAGAGTTAACTAATAGGTTGTAACACGAGGAAGCCAGAGATGCTGGATTTTAAAGCAAAGACTTAGAACAATCAACCATCCTAAAATGTAAATAATAGAAATTATGAACACAATTTTTAAAAATTAATGTTTTATTAAAAAATAAAAATAGCTAATCAAGCTGTGTGGTTGTAGCACACGTCTTTAATCCCAGAACTCAGGATGCAGAGGCAGGTGGACCTCTGAGTTTGAGGCCAGCCTGGTCTACAGAGTGAATTCCAGGACAGACAGGACTACACAGAAAAACCCTTTCTCAAAAATAAAAACAAAACAAAACAAACAAACAAAAAAAGGAAAGAGGAGGGTAATTTAATCAAAGATATAGAAGAAATAAGAGTCAGACCTGGAAGTCTGACAAATGAAAGACAGATACAAAAATTGTAAAATTAACCTTGGACAATATTTGTAGACTGGAACTATAAATAATTTATGAAGAAAATGACAGATGTGTATTTAAGTAGAAAGGTACACCGTGTTCACAGACTGGAACACTTGGTGCTGTATGTCTGCACATGTTTCTATTTAAGCCTGATACAGGTTTTATTCAATTCTTTGAATCACAATAATAGCTTTTGTACTGTAGACAAAATTATTATAAATTTACCTGAATGCAAAAGAACTGGAATTGTTCAAGTGATTCTGAAAAATAGCAGTAACAAGCAAGACACAAATACCTTATATAGAGGTTTCTTTATGGTTCTGTAACTGAGAGACATCCAGGGCCATAGAACAGACTGTAGAACACAGAAAGAAAATACACAAATACATGCTTCCCTGATTTTTGATAACAGTACAAAAGCAGAATGGTAAAGATAGTTTTTGCTTATTTTTCTTTTTAAGACATAGTTTTATCCTTTGTCCCAGGAATTATCTTTCTGATAAAGCATCTTAAATAAATGCTATCAAACATGGGAGGAGAGGAATAAAACTGAAAAGAAATACTAGAAATGCAAATGCTAAAAGGACAGGGAATAGTTAAGTATGCTAAAACCATTCAAGAGAATATTGCCTTTAAAACGACATTTGTGGAGCTTACAGAACAATGCTTCAAAGGTGAGAAAAGTGCAGCATTAAACTAGTACATTTTATGCCACCGTGTAGGGACCCCAAATGTTTAATGGTTATAAGCTACCTTTTATGGTTTAAAACAAAAGAAGGAAAGAAAAAAAGAAAGAAAACTTATTCTTTCTACCTTCCAGTTTAGGTAAGTTTTTGCTTTGCATTCATTTTGAAACATTCTATTCTATCATAAACTAAGAATATGTTTATACTGAAATCACATGATCTTTGTTCAATAGCAACCTAGACTTAAGTCTTGATGTCATCTAAAGCTAAAGTATTTTAGACCTCTTTTTGAAGACTATTTACATAAATGTTTTAGGTTTAAGAAATTTTTAAAGTATTGTAATAGTTAGTAAGGAATTACCCTCCTGAAAAAACTGCTTACATTTTACCCTGTAAATTAACTTATACAACTAAATAAATAAATGTCAAATTATAAAGTAGTAATAAACAGAGGTAGTTTAAACTAAAGCAATACAAATTACAAATTCAGGTTTTCAGTTTCTTTGGAAGTCACTGTAGTGTGCACAGTGCTCTGCCACATCTTAGACTTGCTGCAGAAAACAAATTTGACTCCACCTTCAAAATCCCAAAGCCAAATACTCATGGATATTTAACTTGCTTAAATAAAGTCATTCCATGCTGTGTAACTGCCAGATGCCTGGAAGAAAAAAGCCACCATAGCAATGAACTGAGAGCAGCTGATGACTATGGTCTCATCCTTTGTCTTCCATAGGATAATGTGAAGATTGCTAGTATGCAAAAGACTCTTACAGAGATGATGAAACAAACTAAGCCTGGAAAGAGGTGTTTGCAAACCTCAGAGGAGACAAGCTATTGTCGAGAACCCTAAGTGTTCCACAGTGCAAAGTCCATCAAATTAGAGAATGGACAAAAGGCACATGTCATCTGATGAGGAGGATCTATAGATGACATATACGCACATGAAAGACGTCCCATGGTAGCATTTATTAGGAAAATGAAGTTTAGAAATCAAACTGAGACATTTGCTACCCAAAAGGTTACAATAAAACCTCCAAATGCTGATGAGAATGTGGAAACTGCATGACTCATGCGTAGCTGCTGGGAACACTAAATGCTAAAGCCATTCAGGGTAAACAGTTTGTAAGTCTTTTAAGAAGCTTAACATGCAACTCTTGTATGAACAGTTTGGAAATTCACAACACAAAAATTAAAGTTTAAAATATTCACAGAAAAACAAACCTGACAATATTTACAAATGTGCATGCATATGTGTTTGTTTGCATGAATTTAGCTTATTGCTAATAGCCCCAAACTACAATCACCCTAAAGAGTAGGTGAATAAACACTCTTTTATACATTCCAACCTCAGAACTTAGCAATGGAAAGGAATGAGTTGTCAGTGCATACAGCAGCTCCATGGCTCTCAAACAAAGGAAAAGGCCATTCCCAAAGCAGAGTGTTCCATGATTCTACATCTATAGTGCTCCAAACAGACAAAATCATAGAAACAGAGCCAATTCATGTTTGCTGATAGTCTGAGGGAAACATGAGAACAGACTGGAAAAGGAATGCCTCTACAGCAAGGTGAAGGATTGTTGTCATGAAGTTTTCAATACTTGGGCCATAATATCCATATCCTAGCTGTGATTTGTGCTGCACCTTTGAGACATGATACCATTGGAAAGAGCAGGAGACAGTGTTAACAGGACCTGTCTGTGCAAATTCTTACAATTTAAGGAAAATCTAAAACATGTAACTAGTCGTTTTCTATCCTGCGAGTCAGCTCCCAAATAATCACATGGAGATTTATTAATTATGAAAGCTTGGCCTTAGCATAGGCTTGCCTCACTAGTTCTTATAACTTAAATTAGCCTGCTTCTATTAATCTACATTTTATCATGTGACTTTTTACCTTTATTTTATTCTATGTGTCCAACTTTCTCCATGTCTCGTTGGTGTCTCATTGACATGATTCAAGTGCTTAGATTCCTCCTTTTCTCTCTCCCTGGAAATCCTGCCTATCTTCCTTGTCTAGTCATTAACTGTTCAGCTTTTTATTACACCAATCACAGCAATACATCTTCACAGTGTACAAATATCCCACAACAACAACAAAAAAAATCACAAAAAAAGTGATGGCCTATTTGAAGCCAAACATTCATCTTACTTTAAATAAATACATGTCGTAGAGATTCACTCATGACCCCAGACCTACAAAGCCAAGCAGGGAAAGAATGTGTATGATTGCATGCACCTTTAGTTCCATCGCTTTGGAGGCAGAAGCAGGCAGATCACTGTGAGTTCAAGGCCAACCTTGTCCACAAAGTGAATTATAGGCCAGCCAGCTTCAAAATATCAAAACAAAAACCACACATCACATTTTCTGTTTGTTTCTGATTTAGATGATGGCCTATTCTACTAAACAATGGACTGCAGTTCCCTTAACCAGGATTAAAGCATGCCATGTTATAAAAATTTCACATTTATAAAACTTCCATTAATTCTGTGTAGAAAATTGGGTTATTGTCAAGACGCATATGCATCATTAATATAGGAGGAATCCACTCTGCCCAGTATGTCCATAGTAGAAACGTTTATAATAAATTCTGATAACCATATTTTCTGTTTTAATTTTTGAAACAGCCTACATTTTTCATTCTTATTTTGTGTAGCAAAGCCCTCCTTTAATAAAAATGACAGTGTCAATTAAATAGCTAAGTTTTAAGAAGAATGTTTTGTTTTAGGTAGTTAATAATACGTAAAAAGTATTAACAATGTTGGTTTGTTAAAGTGGGATTTTCACTATTTAATGTTACCACTATTTTCCTGTCATTAAAAACAGGAATTCATCTTATTATGACATTGTCTGTACATTGACTCGGTTAATGCCTTAATAAGACTCTTTGGGTTAATTAAGTAAATAAGTATTTTATTCTGATTTATGCAAATGCTAGGAAATTGATTCAGGTGAAGAAGGAATGAGGTAGTGGACTCTGGGTGTCTGTAGCTGTTTCTTCTTGATAGAATGTATACCAGGTCAATTCAGAAGAGAGCAATACTTTGTTCATTTATCATCATCTTACAAAAAAAAAAAAGTAAACTGTTAACACCACTGAAAATTAGAAGCTTTCAAATAAAATTTCATGTTTCTGCGCTAATATCCCATGTTTAAGATCTGACCCTGTTTGAAACTGCTCAAATCTCTGAGGAACAAAGAACCAACTGGACCTAGTTGCTGGTCTAGAGAGGTCTTCCCTGGAATTGTCCATGGACCCCCATACCCAGGTGGCTTCATTCCTGTCACCTTCTCATTAGGAAAAGAAAATAGAAACAAAGCAGCAAAAGAAACCACTCATTTCGATGCTTGCATTTAATTGGTACCAGGTATTTAAGGAAGGGAGAAAAAGAACTCTGCAGAAAGCTCTTCAGTTCAACAGAGGGAAGGCTGCACTCACAGGGCTTTCTAACTTGAATAGCTGCTCATTGATGACCTCCTTTTCCTACAGTTGATTTTATTCTTGAGGCTGACAGACCTCAGATCCTTATGCCAGCACAGAAATACTTCCTACTAATGTCTCTGAAGACCTCCGGGTTTTTGTTTGTTTGTTTTGGGGGTGCAGTGTGTGTGTGGGGGGGGTAAATAACAGCATGATATATTGTTACTAATATGCAGATCTTCATTCTATGATTTCTACAAAGGCTGAAGAAATAACATTAACAATCGGCCAAGCTTTTGACCTGGCATACAGGAAATTTCTAGAATCTGGAGGAAAAGATGTGGAAACAAGAAAACAGATTGCTGGAATGCAGAAAAGAGTGAGTAACCTAACCTTCTCGTTTCACGTTTGTCTGATGTGCGTACAGGGAAGTTTGCTTATGGCCGAACAGACTGAGAAGGCCTGCCATTAATTGTTCCTCACACGGCGGGCGCTGCTTTAGCCATATTCCTATAATTCTTCATCCTGGGGCCTCAGCACAGTCTTTAACTGTTTTATATTGAATTCCCACAAGAACTTAGTGTTCTCATGTGACTTTGCTTCACTTCCTGATGCTTCTCATGGGGATCAGAGCAGCAGAGGCAGCAGATGCTGGGTAAGTGGATTCCCATGCAGATCAGATTCCTTTGTAATTCAATTACCCCACTTCTCCACCCTACAGTCTTCACAAGCAGCTTTTCTGTCTTGTGGTTATACTCCAAGATTATGGGTATGAATTGTACAGCTCAACAAGAAAACACAGAAATGAACATTAGGAACATAAAACTTACACACACAAGGTTTTTTGTTTTGTTTTATTTTGTTCTTTAATTTAATGTCTTTCCAGTGACCCAAGATTTTCTGATATCTGCCTGGCTTTGGCAACCAATTTTCCTTGTGCACCAGAGAACTTTCGAGTTTTAATAGAATAAAATGTTATTTGCTAATGTAGCTGAGATAACAGCCAATATTTTCCAAGAAAAAAAATCCTGAAAATTATTCAATAATCTTTTGATTTTTAGATCCAAGATTTAGAAACAGAAAATATGGAACTTAAAAATAAAGTACAAGATTTAGAAAACCGGTTGAGAATAACTCACGTGTCATCCTCTCCAGTAAGTACATTGAGTAAGTGTGTGATTCTATGATGTCAAACACCTCTTGATCATGAATCCCGTACTGATTCAAGCCATATTTTGTGATCAATATCAAAACGAAGGCTGGATAGAGATGAAGACTCCCCAGCAAGGTGATTTTCCATGTTTAAATTCTGTGGGTAGTTCAGAACATGGTTATTTTTCATATCACTCTTTTTGTTCCCCTATGTTTTCTAAAATAATTTAAGCCCTGCTTTGATCTTAAGGTTTAATATACTTTCTCCATTTGCAGCAAATCTGTCCTTTCCTGTTGGTTATTATTTTCTGGGATAGACACAGTGGTCATGCCGTCCAGACCTGCAATGCTGGACATCACTTTAGGAAACCGACTGAGAACAAGACCATGTACTAGATGTGGTTGCTTCAGACACCGAAATGTGCCAATTCTGTTCAGACATCATGAAAACATTTGTTATGAAATTATTTGTGTCTGATCGATTTTGAAATCCTTTCCTCAATACCAGAGATGATACCATTATTAAGTAATTTTTGAAAAAGGTGCAATTTAAAGCTATATTTTTTCTAGCAAAAATGTATTTATTTATTTATTTTTTTTTTTTGGTTTTTCGAGACAGGGTTTCTCCGTGTAGCTTTGCGCCTTTCCTGGAGCTCACTTGGTAGCCCAGGCTGGCCTCGAACTCACAGAGATCCGCCTGGCTCTGCCTCCCGAGTGCTGGGATTAAAGGCGTGCGCCACCAACGCCCGGCTGCAAAAATGTATTTAATACTAAACATTTTTTCTGTTTAATAATCTGTACCATGAATAATCTTCATAATACATCTTATTCACACTATTTACAGCATGATTGCATGGATTTAAACACCGTTGTGAGACAAGTAAACTGTTGGAAAATGACAATTTTTATATACAGTATTTATATGTAATTATACACATACAATTTTATAGACAATATCATAATGGCTTACCAGTTCATCACCATGAAGAAGGATGCGTCTATGAGAACTGGGCTTAGGGCTTCAAACTAGCATGACCTGAAAGTTTGATCTGTTTTTCCCTTTACGTTCAACTCATGTTTTTCCATTCTCTGTGGGAGGAAGTTGGTATGTCCATTGCTGACAGAACTGGGGACAGTCAGCTGCAGTAGCCAAGCAGAGGAAGGTTGGCAGGCCCCTGAGTGGAGACAATATGCTTAGTGGGGTTATTGGTCTTAGCCTTCTCATCATATTCCCTCTTACTTTTTCCCTTCACTTTATACTCCTCTTAAGGTTTTGTGTTGCTTCGTTTTGCCTTGCTTCCCTTTTCTCAAGATACAGACAATGGCCTATCTTCTGCTTTGGCTCTAAAAATGCAAAATGCACCATACCCCCTTTGAAGCCGTGTTAAAATGTTTATTGTAAGTCTTGTTGTAAAGCATGGAGTATGGGGGACAGTGCTTTTCCAGTGAGTCTTGAGTACTTGTTTCTAGAATTTATCAGGTGTGCTTTGGTTCAGCCTTTGGGTTGTCAAAAAATAAAACAAGTGAAACAAGTGTGTCATCATTTGGAATGCAAACCCAAAGAATATTCACCATGTTTCCTTTCTTTGAGGACAGAAATCTGAGGCCATTTCATTGAAGGTGAAGATTTGGGAGGATCCAATAGTTTGGGACACATTTGAAGAACTGCTCCCTCTCCAGCAGATCTTGCAAATATGTCCCAAGGCACAATGTCCTGCACTAACACTGGGTACCTGTGGAAAAATGGAGTCAGTGGTCAGGTTGTAAATGAGCATTGGAGGTTTGAATACAGTAAGGTCTTGGTTAAAGAAGACAAAGTTTCATTTAAGCAGGAGGAATAAGCTTAAGTGTCTCACTGCAATTCAGAGACCTTCTAGAGCAGTGGTTCTCAACCTTCCTAGTGTTGCGACCCTCATGTTGTGGTGACCCCCACAATAAAATTATTCCATTGCTATTTCATAACTGTAATTTTGATACTGTTACGAATCATAATGTAAATATCTGATATGCAAGACCCCAATTAAAGGGTGGTTCAACTACCAAAGCGGCTGTGACCCATAGTTTGAGAACTACTGTTCTGGAGCATGCAATGGTTATTCCCACCGTAAGTAAATGATGAGTGTATGAAAAAGAACATAGAAAACTTTTGATTGTTAAAAGAGTCAATTAAAAATATTCTAGACTTCTAAAATTTAGTAAAGTTAAGTGAAATTACTAAAATTATGAATTATGACAAATCTGATCCAGTAATTTTGAAAATATTGTTATAGGGCTTTTCTTAACCTACTTCTATTCTTTATTCCTTCAGTACATTTTTTAGTTCAAGTAGAGTTACATCACTTTACCCCTTCCCTTTCCTTCCTCCAGCCCCTCCCAGATACCCTCATTCCAACCCTTCCCTGGATAGCCAGCCAGTCTCATCCCCCTACTCTCAAATTGATAGCCTCTTTTTCTTTTATTATTTTTGTTACATATATATATACATATATATATATATATGTGTGTGTGTGTGTGTGTGTGTGTGTGTGTGTGTGTGTGTGTGTTTTCACAAATATATAAATATAATTGTGTGTATATAGTTTCAGGCTTTTTTAATGAGATTATTAACAATGTCTTTTCTTCTCATTTTTGATTTTCTCTACACAGCAATAAGCTGGCATATACTAAGTACAACTATATTTACTTTACCCCTGTAAAAATAACTTCCCACCTTTCTTATAGTAAAATTTTAAAAATAAGTTTTTGTTACCTTCAACTGTTTGATATGAAGTAGCTTATAAATATCTATTTTTAAAGGTTTGGATTGGGTCAAACTATTGAATTGGGAAAACGGCAGATGTATAATAATTAAAATACAAATTAAAGTGTAAGCATCTCTTAATGGTTTTCCATGTGCTTTCAGGTTAACCTATTTCTGATAAGTTAGAAATAACTTGCATCTGTTCTTATGAAAATTGAATGTTGCCTTCAAGGACACACTAGGAAAGCATACTTCATAGAATTCCTACAGCTTACTCTGGAATTGAGATTCTGTACACACTGTACATTTTGCTTTTTTGTGTTGAACTTAGGAATAAAATATAGGATGCTAACAAAATGATTAAACTTGCCTGTAATTTGGTTAAAGAAATAGAGGTAGTGGTTTATATAGTAACTGAAGAAATATTATAATTGATTAAGGATCCCGCGTACAATAATATAGATGAGTTGTTTGCACATAATTAAATTGTCATTATATGCTTAATGAGTTTTCAATGTGTTTGTGTTGAGTGGAACACCCCCCAAACACACGACCTCTTTACCAGCCATCCCAACACAGGATATTCACCATCCTAAGTTCCACTCAGTTGTCTAAGTCATGGGTCCCTTTTCTGACAAATGAAATAGGCCTTGACATTACCCATGATATGTATCTTCTTATTACATTGCGATTGTGGAGACCTTTTTGTTGGTTTTAGAAATTGGTCCTCATGCTAAAGTATCATTTAGATACACTGAGAAATTTCCGTTCCTTGACTCCACGCTTTGCTTTGTTCTGTGTTCTCGTGGTTTGGCAGTAGATGAGAGGCTGGTTTTCTGCCATTTGGGACTAATCGTCTAGGATCAAGCTGATTTCCATTCATTATGTTCACATGGCAGTGTCACTTATATTTATATTTGAAAAGAGGGTTTATTCTGCCCTCCTAGTCTCATGAACACCTTCAGAAGATTGTCCATTTATAAAATGTGGGCACACCAAGTTACGTCAAAATTTTCCTCATGATTTTTATGTCTGAGGGCTTGCATTTTATTTTACTAGGTCCAGAAGCTTTCAAACAAATCAAGCTAATCCCACAAGGTTAAATGAATAAAATTATAGTTTCAAGGAATACTGGACTGTCTATTGCTGGGTAAAACAAATGTCTCCCTTTCAATTAACCAGTGTTAGATAAAATTCTACTTTTATATAATCTACTGTGCAGCCACTGATTAGACTCAGTCAGACAATTACACCCTAAAATGTGTATTTCGTTGTGGGTAAACAAACCTAGTGCTTTCTCAACTACTCTTGAATTCAAGCTAGGCAAGAGCGCATTATGAAAACTCTCAGTTACACAACAAGCCAAATGTGAGTCTTTAAACAAAGGCACCAAGTTTAAACATGAACATCAGTAAAGAACATTTGGTGCCCACAGAAAATGATGACTAGTTCCCAGCTTCAGATTTGTTGGCTGCACACAGAGGATCCTGAGACAAAGCCTATGGAATAGGAAGCAAGCACGTTTTCTGTCCTGTTCCATCAGGCAGTGCCTGCTCACAGCACTGAGTCTTGGTTTCAGGTTTCTTTTTGTGATTTGTGGCAAGGCTAGTCACAACCATTTAACTTAGATGATTTTTAAATGCAATATAATATAATAGCTCCCATAATTAAGAAATTATAAACCCACTTTAGATCGGGAAGCCTGAAATAGTACTTTCCTGTTGGTATAAGTTTCAAATTAGAGTATTTGTTTCTTGTAAGGCTTATTTTTTACAGTGATGTTAAAAATGTACCATAAGCAATTAACAACTGCGGAGGGGAGCAATTAGTCTTCTCCATGAATGAGCCCCCTAATGAGTTATCCAGTACCCAGCCCTGAAAGCATAGATGTACAAATAACACTAAATGGACTCAGTAGGTTGTACCTATATGTTAATGCATTTATATACATATGTAACAATAGTAATTAAAATTTAAAAGGCCATGGGTTTGAAAGGGAGTGAGGGAATTATATGGAATGTATATGGGAGGGGTTGGAGGGAAGTGCAGAAGAGGGTAAATGATGTAACTATATTTTAATTTTTAAAATGCAAATTAAGAAATGCCATAAAATGAAATTTAGAAGTATGCGTCAACATCTGGAAACTGGTGAGAAGAGGGCTGTCCACCCCACCCCGCTGCTGCAGAGCTGGGGCAGTTTTAAGTTGAGTCAGGCCCTCAGCTTCCTAGTTGGCCATATTCTCATAAATCTCCTCATTTCAAGCCTTGATACAAAGGTCTCCATCTAATACTCTTGGTCAAGACCTCTCTTTAATGTTGCTCCTAGCTTTGTTTATACTGGGGGGTCTTTGCAACACTTGTCCCCTCTCTAATTCTTTATTCAACACTTCCCCCTCTCTTACAAAAAGAAAAAAAAGGAAAACCTAAACTTTAAACTTCAGAAATCTTTTGTTCAGGCTCCCTCAGGAATGATGTAGTGCCTCATCCCATACCTCTGTCCTTTCAGGGCCTCTGACAGGGAAAATACAAGGCAGCATTGATGTAGTAGGCTCGCTCTTTCTGGCCTCTTGCTTATTGTATCATAGTAAATGAATAGAGGCTCAACTATAGCTTTGATGTCAGCTTATTAATTGGCAAGTATAGAATCTGACACCTGGAGAGAGCTCAGCTCTTGACAAGAAATGTCCACGATGAAAGAATGACTCCGAAAACCTTGACACTCAGACCCTGTTTACTATACTACTTACCTGCTGTTTATGACCTCCAGTTTCTATGAGGTGTTTGTTAACTTCCTTTCTGTCTCCAGAGTGTCTTGCCATGGGGAACTCCTTCCTTATTTTCGGGATGGGCAGGGGAGCTGGTGTCACAGTTTTAGATTTTGGTTTTGCTTCTGAATGTACGGAGTTGTATATCCTACAAATCTATGGGCGTTACTTCTGTGAAAGTATAAGCATTGCTGTAGTCATACTTATAAAGAGTGGAAAGTTACTAAAAATATATTAACACTAGAAAATTCTACAATCACTAACTATTCACCAGAATGTATCTTATGTCCATTAGTGTTCATCTTACTGTACCATCCCATCACTGAGACCTTAAAATATATGACAGGCTTTCTTAGTTTATTCTCTCCTGTCTTCCTCTGAAGTCCTGGTGAATCTGATAGTCTGTTTAAAACTATGAAAATATGACAATTTTTCAAATAAAGTGATCAGTGAGACCTCGTACAGATATTCATCTTCAGCTGTGTTTCGATTTAGTAAACTTACCCCGAAATTTTCACGAAATACTTCTCCAAACAATCTTCATGCATGCTTTTCACTCTCTGCAAGCCTCCTTTCTCCTTCTTAGCATGTTTCTCCTTCTGTTTTTCTTTACAGCTGTCACACAGAGTGTCTGATCATGTGCCACATGTGTTGCTGAGATTCCCATCCTCTTTCTGGAGCAATAGCGATGATCCAGCTCCTTGTCTAAGCACATCTTCCATTTCTGTTACTCCTGTCAACTCGCCTGGCTCCAGACTGTCAGTGGGAGCACTAATACCACCACCTTCTAAAAGTGGCCTGCTCAAGCCAGTCAGTGAGAGCAGCAATCTGAGACCTCATGTAACTTACTAAGCAGAAAACTCTACTATCCATTCCCTACTTAAAAAGAATTCTTGTAGAATGTGTCCTTCATGTAGTGCTAAAAAAAAACGGTGTGCCTTGAATTAATGTGATGGGACCTGGGGCCCTTATGGAATATTTTTATTTTCTTAAGTTACTGCTTAGCAGAGTTTGAAGCAGAGAATCCTGGGAGTTTAGAAACCCTGAACATATGGTGTAGGATCAGTACAGAAGCTAGGGGAGAAAAGAAATATTGCTGATTTGTAGTAGCAGGTAAGATTTAATACTTTTATAAGCTAAGGAGAGATATGGAAGACAGATGATGATTAGGAGAGCAACATTCTTAAATATAGAAGGGGTGAGGGGTACAATGTAAAGTATTGAAGAAGGGAAAATGACTGTAATTTTTATGCTGAAAAATACACTAACAATCATTTTAGCTGAACAACTAGTCCATCTCTCTCTACATACAGCCATCCCCCTGTTCTTTTTATTCTGAGACCTCTACTTTCACCATGAGCTGCTCTGGGCAGCATTCTTACAGTCTAATAGCAAATGTAAAAAGTTCTTCTATTCCTCTCTAAAAAATTCATCCTTTAATCAACTATGACAATTTCCATAGAAGACTATGCATTATTTTATCTTGCTTGACAAATTCATAATTCTCCCATTTTACATTGTTTTTTGGTGCATTTTCAGAGGATATTAATATTCATTTCTGTATATCTTCCCAGTTATGAGCTACAGTGTATAATTTAATAATTTGGGTATTACATTGATGATTATTAATTTATTTTTACAAGGTTGCAGCTTGTTATTGAAAACATGAAATTATTCAGGAATAAAATTACTGCAATGAATATCAATTTTTCTTGTACCTATAAATGCAAATTAATATGCTTTACCTTTATGAACACAAAAATGTAAATTGAACTTGAACATTTATAATTAAGAAAGTAGTCTCTTATGTTCAATTGTTCTTTTAAAAACCATGCAAAATCAACTGCAAAAATTTCATTTTTTATTCAAATAGTTTCTAAGGTATTTGTTATTTTTTTCTGACAGGGTTGACAATTGTTTGTAAGTATACAAAAGCTCAGCATACCTTGCCAATCTATCTTCGACAGTGTCCACACTGTTGTTACTATTCACTTGGGAACAAATTTTTGTTGTTTTCTTTTAAATGAGCATTTGGTATATTAGTTTGAACCACAAGAAACTATAGTTAACCACTTTTCATTTACAGAATGGCAAGGTATCTTACTCACCTCAGGGTTTTGATTGTGAGTTTGACATGTAGATGACATTCTCAGGATAGTAATATACCTGCATGGGTCATCACACTGATTCCCTGTCTTCATTACAGGCCGGCAGTGTGACAGTGAAGTCTCCTTCCACTGACATCTTTGATATGGTTCCATTTTCCCCAATATCACAGCAGTCTCCAACGCCTACTCGCAATGGCACACAGCTCCCACCAGTACCTAGCAGATCTGCTGAAATCAGTAAGCACTCTAAATATATTAGTATTTGTGCTCTATTTTGGTGTGGTTTCAATCTTTCACCTTACGTGAAAATAACATAACAAGCCAACAGCTTTAATTATTAAAGTATTATGCTTTTATATAGGTTTCCGATTTGATTAATTCTATATTAATTTATAATTGAGAAAAAATACTAAACATATCTCTATTTGTAAGTTGAATCTTACAAACAATAAGAATGAACAATAAGATTTTGGTATAAGGCTATTTGAACCATAAAATTGTTTAACTGTGCATTTCTATTTATTTAATATCCTAACTTAGAAATAACTAGGAGTTATCATGTAGTCATTTGTAATATGTTTACTAAAGTAGTTTAGATATTCTTGTTACAAGGCATTCATGTATTCTTAGTGGAAGAATATGTAAAGAGTATACATCCTATGATTTTTCTGTGTATAATATTATTTAAGGTGTTTGTCTTTGATATATTAAATATTCAAAAACTTTTTAATGTATATTCTACATATCTGTAAACAACATTGAAACCTCTCTTTGATGCATCAGAAAGCAGACATTTACTGTATAGGTCTATCTGATCTGTTCCCTGTCAGACTCTGAATGAGTTATTCCAATAGCCAAACATCAGCCTTTCAAACCACATGAATACTGGGGAAACCAGTTTTATATTCCACCTTATTAAGATGTTTCACATACAGTGTCTGCAGAAGCCTTTGGTGCAAGGTAACAATGTAGCCTTTTGTTTCCTGTGTGGAACTTGGGAAAGATTGCTCATTTTAATTACTCAATGTATTTTGCATGATTATTTTTTAAAGAAAAATAATAATTAGAGACTATAACTGTCAGCTTACAGAAAATTTTCAAAATATCTAAAAGGTGGCATATAGAATGAAGAAGTTTTTTTTCCACTCAACCCTCCATAGCATACAAAGCAAAAAATAGATTATCTAGTTTGCTTTTCATTGCAGTGATAACACCATGACCAAAAGCAGCTTGGGGAGGAGAGAGACTGTTTCAGTTCACAGGATATAGCCTATCACCCAGGGAAGTCAAGACAGGAGCTCAAGGCTGGAACCACAGCAGAGACCCTATATGGAGGAACAGTGCTTCCTGGCTTCCTTGCTGGCTCACAGCGGGCTGGGGCCTCTAAATCAGTTACCAATCAGGATCATGCCTACAGGCCAGTATGAAGGAGGAAATCCCACAGCTGAGAATACTTCTTCATAGATGTGTCAACAACCAAGATTCGTCATTGCAATGAACAAATGATACTACATCAAACGAAAGATCTTCTGTCCCACAAAGAAGATCATTAATAAAGTGAATACTAATCCACAGAACAGGCAAAGGGGTTTGTGACATGTAAGATATATCGGTAATCCTAACAGCTCAACAGCCAAACTTTTCAATTAAAAACACAGACAGCAGACATGCCATACAAGAAGACAATGGCTGGGTACATGAAAAAAAAAAAAATGCTCGAAATCAGTATTCATTAGGGAAACATGTATCAAAACCAGAGTGAGATTTTACCTCGCTTTAAAGGTGCAGGCAAGAATATGGAGAAGGACTCTTGTACATATTACAAGGACAGAATGATAAACCAGTACAGATATTATAGCAAAAGTACGGAGATTTCTCAAAAAGTTAAAAGAAAATGCTACCTTACAATCCATTTATTGTAATACTTGCTGTGTGTCTAAAGGGCAATATCAATCTTCATGTTTAATTCGGTTACATTTGTCAGAAAGTAGAACGAAACCGAGCGTCTTTGCACTTACTAGTGGGGAGAGGAAATGGACTTGTGCACAGCGGAACACTGTCCAGCCAAAACGATGGAAATTCCGTCACTTTCAACAATGAGATGGAACTGTTCGTTGTGTGTAAAGTAAAATAAAATAGGCCCAAGGATGAACACCCCACATGACCTCACACATGTGGAGAGTATAACATCTGTTACCTCACAGAAACTGAGCATGCCTTCATAGTCACCGAAGACCAAGGTTTAAAAAAAAGGAGAAAGGGGGGATGTGGATTAGTGGTAAATTTTAGATAATGCCATAACCACCCTGAAGTAATGGGGTATGCTTGCTCCTTAAGAACATTCCCAGGTCTCATTTTTTTATCCCATTCACTTAGATGACATCACCAATTCATGTGATAATTGATTAATTATAAATAAAAAGAGTGTTTTACACACATATTAGAAATGATGAGTTATATCAAACCGGGTACCATATACTAAATAAGAATGCACTTGCTTAGAAAATCTGGATTGTAATTTCAAGTTAACTTAGCCTGCGTCAAAATGTGCTTAGTAACCCATGCCTTCAGTAGGTCATTTGTTTCATTGATAAGTATTAGAGATGCACTTCCCCAGGCTCAGTCAACTGCTATGCCTTCAGTAGGTCATCTATTTCATTGATAAGTATTAGAGATGCACCTCCCCAGGCTCAGTTAACTCCTACGCCTTCAGTAGGTCGTCTGTTTCACTGATAAGTATTAGAGATGCACCTCTCCAGGCTCAGTCAACTGCTACTCTGCTGTGTACACAGAATGAGTGAGCTTCCTCAAATTATGGGACACTGAAGAAAAGTCATTAGATTGAAAGACTGATCTGTTAGTTATCTTTGAAAGTCTGAAGTCACACCATTCAGGATTTTAAACAAATATTAACAGGAAATATGGCAGTAGGAAGTAACTAGGTAGCAAGATAAGTGGACAGATTAGATATGACATCTGAGCATTAATCATTTGACTTGATTTTAATTATCACATTGCCTAAAATTCTAATCTAGAGAGGGGTTTTAGTTAAAGAATTTTAAATGCATTCTTAACTATTCGTTTACTTTAACCATCTAGCAAACTTAGGAAATTGAAAAGCTACAAGGTTACCCCTTAGTCTGTCTGTTCAGTGCCAAGAACTTGACAGTTCTGCAGAGTGTATTCAGTCCCACTTCTCACTCCCTTTGCATATGCTTCTCCCTTTTGAGTATAGTCAGACTGTATTAGACACTCCCTAGCCATCTTAGTCTCACAGTGAAGAGCCTTTAGCCTTTTCTTATTTCTCTAGTCCATTGCTGAGCAAACTGCATGACATATGCTCAATACCTATTTCTAGAAAAGAGAGAGAAACCTTGATAAAGAGCCACCTATTAACTGTCGTTCTTTCACGCCTGCCTTAGACTCAGCCAGTCCTAATGTCATTAACTATGTAATATATATTCTTTGTAAAAATTTGTATTATACAAGTTAAGCTTGAGATGCACAGAATACACAAATGATCTCAGCTGTGTTTATTAATTGTGTTGCACAGAAGTAAAATATTCACTTACATGAAGTATAGTGTTCTTTATAACTTATAGGGAGCCACAGAATATAGAGACTACATTAGAAAACCTCTTCACAGAAAACCACAGCATACCCACTTGTGTGCTCTTGTGTCTCCCATCTGAGACATGACCTGTACTGCCTGACACACATCTGAAATCTGTAAGGATTCTGTATCCCAGGTTAAGAAAGTCTATGTGATGAAAATTTCTACTCTGATCAGCAATTGTGACCCATTCATTCATTCATTCATTCATTCATTCATTTCTGTTGACAAACATTCGCAGTGGGAAAGTGCTGTTCCACATGCTGGTGCCTTGGTCATTTCCACGACTCCCCAAGGAAAAGCTTCTTTGTCCACTAAAGTGTGGCTTAGTGCCCAAGCAGCGATAGTATGCCTGAGTACCATTTACCTTAGCAGGAAATCCTTTGTTTACCACAGCCCTGCCCAAAGGTTTTGATCACACTGTGAGTATTGAAACTCCACTTTCACTTTAAAAGTATACGTTTAGGTGATAAATTATATGTCCCTTATTTACATAATAGCAGAAACTCCAAGCATATTACCATTACTGGGTTATTTAATGTGAACAACTAGAAAGAATTAAAACCTAACAATTAACACCCTAATAATAAGAGTGACTGATTGACTTTAGAGACTGACAGAGAATGAGTAACATAAAAATCATTTCCTATGTAGCACTGAATTTCGAAATACAAAGTTCCTGAGAGGTGTAGGAATGTATATGTATAAGTGCATACTCCTTGTATAATGTTTTCCTAATTTAAGATTGCATTTTAATTTATTCAGAGCAAAGACATTTCTTAAATTCTATTAATCACAAACATTATTTTAACTTTGATACTTTTATTATTTTGTGATTATAATATATAGGGAGAGTTTTCCCTTCCCTTTCCCCTCCTCAAACCCTTCCGTATATCCCTTCCCATTCTCCTTCAAATTCATGCCCTCTTTCCACTAACTGTCATTGCATGCATATATGTATATTATATGCATGAATGTTCCTAAATGTAACCTGTTGGGTCTTAAAATGTTACTTGAATGCGTGTTGCCAGGGCAGACTGTTTGGACCTGAACAACCCGCTGGTGTACTCTTCTCTGGGGAAGATTTGTTCTCCTGCTCTCAGCTTTATTAGATCGCCTGCACTTGTGTGTGTGTGTGTGTGTGTGTGTGTGTGTGTGTGTGTGTGTGTGTGTGTGTGTGTCCTTGTGGGCTCTTCCCCACTTGGTTTGCTGTGTCCTTTGATGTCATCCTTTTTCAGCTCACCTATGCGCAGTCTTGTTGGTGAGAATTTATGGATGTAGCTTCTGCCATCACTGAGAGATCCTATCTTAGAGTAAACTCCCTGATGCTCTGGCTCTTGCAGTATGCCTGCCCCCTCCTCTTCAACATTCCCTGAGCCTTGGGTGGAAGTGTTTTGTAGATGTGTCCATGGGGACTGGGCTCCACAACTCAGCGTTTTGATTAGTTGTGGTTTTCTGAAGTGGTCTCTGCCTGTTGCAAAGAGAAGTCTTGAAGCCTAACAAACTGCTCAGCTACAGAAGTCGTGGTTGTTGGAGGAGAATCTACAACTATTAGTTTACCAAGTCAGCATAAGCCCTAACAAAAATGTATAAATATTTGTCCTTATACCCGCAGATAAGGGTAGCTTTCACCTCTCATCAATGTTCATACTTCTTTACTGACAAAAGCAAAGCATACTTTCAAGTATTTATTTGTAGGGTGCTGTTTAGAGTGCATTTAGGCAGCTGTTTAAAGTACCTATAGCAGTTGAGTGCTGTCCTATTTTATCTGTGCACCCCAATAAAGCTTATCTGAGGATCAGAGGAAAAAGCCAGCCACTATAGTAAATACAGAAGTCAGGCCATGGTAGCACATACCTTTAATCCTAGCATTCGGGAGACAGAGATCCATCCTGATCTCTGTGAGTTCAAGGCCACACTGGGAACAGAGCCCAGCATGGTGGCATACGCCTTTAATCTCAACACTAACCATGGAGGTCTGGAGGTCTGTACAGACAGACAGGAAGTGACAGAGCTGGGCAGAAAGAGGAAGTGATGTAGCTGGGTGGAGAGAGGAAGTGAGATGCAGAACAGAAAGGCATATAGGCGTGAGTATACAGGAAGTAGGTCTCTTTGGAGGCTGAGGAGTTGGTGAGGTGAGGTTGGCTGTGGCTTGTCCTATTCCTCTGATCTCTCAGTTTTCAGCCCGATACCTGGTTCTGGGTTATTAATAAGGCCATTTAGCAATTCGTCTTACAGAGTGTTTTTTTTATTTTTAATAAAATTTTGAGATTATAATATAATTATATCATTCCTCCATTCCTTTCCTCCCCCAAGCCCTCTATGTAACCCCCACTTGTTCTCATTCAAATTTTTGGCATTTTTAATTGTGTTACATGTGTATGTACGTCCATGCACACACACATGTGTATTCCTATATATAAGTACAACCTCCCCAGTCTGTATAATTTTACATATATGTTTTCAGGACTTACCATTTGGTACTGGATAAACAATTGGTGTGCTAATCCCTCAGGAAGACTATTTCTCCCTATTTTTCCCTCTCGGCCTTCCTTAGTTGCCTATTGTTCTTTTTCCAGTTTTTGTTTTGTTTTGTTTTGGATTCTGTTTGTTTGTATTTTGGTTTTTGTTTTGTGTAAGCACCTGCTTAACTTACATTCCTTGATATGGCCTCAAGGAATGAAATCAGATCAGGTTGGAGGGACCACAGCACAACTGAGACTGTGACAATTTTATTGAGAGCAATCAGATGTTTTATATCTTTATCAGAAACAGGATTTAATGGCAATTTCCACGATCCATACAGTTGTAGCTGCCAGAATACAGTGACGTTTGCAAGCCATACAGGGTACACAGGATTAATGTCTAAGACCAATTGTCCTGTCAAGCTTCCATGTTTCCATGACTACCAAGGAAACACACACACACACACACACACACACACACACACACACTCACATACAAAAAAAACAAACAAACACCACAAATCAGCCCAAAGGCTTCACTGCCTGAGGGAGTGCATCCCTGATGAGTGCATCATCTCTCAAGAACTGGAAGGTACATTGTGCTCCAAGAGCAACAGGCTCTAACCTGAAAAACATATGGTGCAGGTCTCTCAAGGCAGCTAGGCTAAGACCACTAGATGGTTCCCTGCAGTTTTGTTTTGTTTTTTCAAGACTAGTCTTACTGTGTAGCTCTGACCGTCTTATAACTCACTATCTAGACCAGGCTTGCCTCAAACTAACAGATACCTACCTGCCTGCCTCTGCCTCCCAAGTGCTGTGGTTAAAGATGTGAACCGCTATGTCCTGTTTACTTTTTTTTTTAAGAGTTTCATAAGTGAGTTAAGTATTTACATCATTTACACCTAACCCTCTCCTCTCTCTAACTCCTAACTACCCTCCCTACAAATTCATGGCCTTCTTAATGATTGTTACATATATATGTATGTAGAAATACAGCTTGTTCCATATATTTAGTATTACTTGTATATATGTGTTTAGAACTGACCTTGATATTAGATAACCTATTAAGAAGCTGTTTTTGATACTGCATTCCTATCATTTTTTAAAATAAAAATTCTGCTAAAAACTTTGTTCAGTGTGGTCTATGAAAATTGTATCATTTCATGCTGCTCAAGATAAAGTGGCTTAAAATTTTTCTTGATAAAAGTGAGATACAAGTTTATGAACTACAAGTGAACTGCTAACTTACAAATTCTGCACCGTGCTTTGCCATGGTGTTGTGAGGCAGCAACAAATGGAATTAGAGAAATCTCATATGGTATTACATTAATGTTAGAAAATACTGCAGTAAAACATCAGTGTTGTAATAGGTCAATTATTAAATATTGGTAATGCTGTTATTAAGAAGTTATACCAAAGACACAGAAAATTCTCTAGAAAGCAACTTATCATGGTCACAGACATTTTGCCATCGTGGTTTTGTTGAGATGGGGTCTTACTATGTAGCCAAAGCTGGCCTTCAACTCTTTAGAACCCCCACCTCAAGTGACAGTGTTATAAATATGAACCACTATACATGACCAAATATTTTCTAAAATTAGTTTTATTAATATTTTGAAAATTTTGTGCAATGTATTTTGATATTTACAGCCCACTCCTCCCCCTAACTTTTCCCAGATCCAACCCCAGCTCATGTCATCCTCCTTTTTTATATAACTCACCCAGCCCAATTTGTGTTGATCATATATACTCATGAGTGTGGGTCTATTCACAGGAACTCCACCCTTAAAGAACACACACCCAGAAGCCAACAGTTGTAGAAGTTTCTCAGGTAGAGGTCAGGAACTCATGAGCCCCTTCTTACTCCATGCTGGAATGCTGACTGGCTTGATCTTGGTCAGGCACACCAGCTACTGTGACTTTATGAGTCCAGAGACTGCCGCATCTTCATGACACTGCTTTGCTCCTGTCCTTCTTGACTTCTGGCTCCTAGAATTTTTCTGTCTCCTCTTGTAAAATCTTTCTAAATTTGAGGGATGAATAATTTAGATGTCGCATTTGTGGCTGAGCACTCCACAGACACTTATTCTCTGCGTTTTGACCAGTTGTGAGTTTCTACATTAACCACCAGATATTTATTGCACAAAGAAACTTCTTTGAGTCTGAGAGCTACACCAATCTATATCCATATAGATATGAGTTTAGAAGGCAGTTTAATATGAAGTTCATTTAGTAGGATAATAATAGTAGGTCCAACGTGGAGCCTGTGACCTCTTCAACCATGAGTTCTTGACCAGATTTACAGCACCAGGTATGTGTTTCCTCCTGTGGATCAGACCTTAAATCCAATCTAAAAGTGGTTGGTTACCAACTTAACCTTTGGTCCACTACTGAATCCGTGGTCTTACCATACCAGTCATTATCATAGCTCACAGGATTCACAACTGCGTAACACTTTTAATTTTTTTTCTCCCGGTGGCCAAGTCTAAATAATACCTATAGTACTGTGAAAGATGGCCAAAGTGAAGAAAGCTTCCTGGTTAGTGTCAACATGATTTCTCCATATCCTGTGACCCAAGTGTGTAGTGGCTTCAGCAATAAAACCTTGCCATAAAGTTCTGATTGGCAACCAAGAAATGCAGCAATGGTATTACTGGACACCCCTGATCAACCTCTAGATTAGATATCCAAATTTGATATTGGGTTTTCTATTTGTCAGCCTTTGGCTTCTAGGAGGAACATTGTCCTTTGTGTTGCATAACTGCAATTAAACTCTTATATAAACACACAAACACACACATGAAGCTTATTAAATAGTAGGTTTTGGTATGATTTTCCACGCATCGTTAGTGTTAGTTATGCCTTCTCCAACCCTCTTCTATGTCCTACTTCCACCCCTCTCCCTACCTAAACCTCCTTCTGCATTTTCCCATTCATATCGTCTGTTGTGTTCTACTATTCTCCTCCCTTAAGGTCTTTCTTCACTTTCCTCTCCAATAATCCCATTCTATTTTCCTAAATAGTCCAAGTTAGACATACAACTATAAATATTTGACACTAATATTCACACATGAACAAGAACTTAAAACACTTGTTTATGGCAATACCATCCTGAATATGACGGATCCCGTCTTGCCAGAGAATTTCTAAAATCATAAAATATATTTTTGCGTACTTAAATCAAAATGCCCAACATAAATTATAAGAATCAGTAGCTCATTCAGTCATGGAAATACTTATATTAATATAATAAATAAATTCACACTTTTAAATTATAATCTTGATTTTTTTTTTTTGCATCTCAGCTAATGTTTGATCATCTTACTTAAAGTGTTTTCTTCCTTATAGAACGGGACCTCTTTGGAGCTGAACCTTTCGACCCATTTAACTGTGGAGCAGGGGACTTCCCTCCAGATATTCAGTCCAAATTGGATGAGATGCAGGTGACTATTTCAACAGATCGGAAAAACAGTTTATTTCTCTTTATTCTGGAACAAAGAAAGTATACCAAAGCTCTATCCTTCATCGTTGCTATAAAGGCTTATTTAAAGCAGTTAGACTAAAAGTAATTAAACTTACTCCTAACCACTGTTACACATGCTGAGGATTGTGTCTTTCTTCCTTTGAATGATTCAATATATAATGGAAAGAAGATGCTTATTTTTTAATACAAAATGACAAAATTCTAATTTTTCTAATCAAGAATTTAAAAGGCCATTACAATGAAATTTTAAGATTTTTGTCTCAGTCTTAATAGTTCTGAATTTCAAAACAGTAAAGATGTTGGATGAGGGAAAATCTTTGAAAAGAAGCATTTTAACTGTGTCTCTCAGTTCCTGGACTACTGAGAAGGCAGACACCACAGGCAACCTCTTTAGGAATGTGGTCAAGTAGATTTTTTTTCTCTTCTGTCCCTGAATTTTTCTGTAAGTTGTAAGAAATTGGTTTTTAAAGCTTCATACATTGAGCAATGATGGAACCACAGTCATATTTAGATCAGAATGAAGACTTCTCTTTGTATTTGCCATCCACATTTGGATGAAATAATTACGTCCTACTGTACATCACAAACATCATAATTGATAGAATCCAGAAAAGCACTAGTTACTTGGAGCTGACTGAGATGAGATGGTCGAGACACTAGTTATTTCTGCTTGTCCTGGCTTACCCACCTGCTCCTTGGGCTTCACCGCCCCCCGGATACCTACCCCCCAAATCAGAGGACAAACTGTGCCCTAAAGCTGGCAAACACATGCCTTTCCTTGAGACAATAATACAAATATCCTTCCACTTGGATAAATGACATGCTGCCTGACTTATTTTCTAATTATTATTTACACATCTTTTTCATCTTAGATTTAGTAATATGCCTGCATTTAAAAGGTTGAATTATTTAAAACATGCCTTGAAGTTTCAAAGAATATATTAAAATTTTCAAAATGTAATCACTTATAATTTCTTTTTCCAGAAAAAAAATATTTTAGAACCTTAAAATTTACTAAAATCATGTCTTTTTAAAAATACTCTGAAAAAATTATTAGTGACTGAGCCCTATCATTTTTATATAATTAGGAAACATCATAACATCAATAAAGTTCAAATTAAGAAGTATAATGAAATAAGATGTATAGCATTTTTGGGGTAAAACAAAGATCACTCTATGAAACTTCTGTTCATCTCAACATACATTGTGTCTGATGGCAGTGATTTCTCACCTTTATATCTCAATTACTTTGAAAATGGCACTTAAATGTGACTTGCTGATGAGACATAATACTGTGTCCTCTCGGGAATTAATTCCTTTTCTTTGTTGTTATCTTTGCTAATCCGAATGCGCTATCTGGGACGATGCCTATAGACTGTGAGCATGGGAACTGGGAGAAGTGATGGTTCTCAGGGTGATGTAGATCATGAAGACTTTCCTGAAGGTCTTTTGTTTTTGATACCAAACTTAAAACCTCAATAGGTTTTAAATGATAAAACTTCAGGATTTTGTAGCAACCCAGTTTGAGAAAATACAGGAGTGAGTTAGCAATGGGGTGATCAGATAATATTAAACTGGAATGTGATGCTTGGGTTTTGATGTTTCTAATACTTTCTTAATGTCTTTTTTATTCTGCTTTCATGATGGGTAGCGCCAGAGATGGTTGGTATCTCATTTCCATCATTTAAAGAGATAACAAACTTTTTAAGAGCTAATTTTTTTGTATTTTCATGTTTTGCTTAATAACTATTCAATCAAGTTTCATGTGGATGTGTGTGATTAGTGTGTGACTAGTGTGTGATTAGTGTTTAAAGAGGTCTCGTAACTCAGATCTTCAGGTTAATTTTTCAGTGATTCTCTTTTTCATTGCTCACCACATTATGTATTTCTTTTAGTTCAAGACTTAATTGCAGGGCCACTTTAACTATAGTCAGTAAAATAGTATTTCTTTCATTTAGAGTCTGCACTGAATTTGTTATTAATCTTGCTATCCTAATTAATCTAATATACACATATAACTGCTTTATCTTTGCATGCTATATAAAATGCCAATGTAGTATATTAAGCTGTGAATGCTATATGACACTAGTGATAAGCCTCCTAGCTAAATATATGTTTTTTTTCTTTCTTAGAGAGGATTAAAACTAAATTATTCATGAGTTACAGTATTAACTTTGAAATTCTAGGAATATCTTGTACATGTGAGATTTAAAGCAGAAATATTAAGCCATATTTCATTTCAAATAGTTGGGCAATTTAATATATATTTGAAATACAATCATGTAGTTATTTGATCTGACATAATTTAAACTGCAAGGCATGTGTCTCTGTCAGACAAGGAGATAGGACAGTATTGATAGCCATGAACATATTCTATGAATTATAATAAGGAAATACAGAGTCAAGAGGATAATTCAGCTGGTTAAGTTCTAGCCATGCAAATGTGAGAATCTTAGTCCTAGAACCCATAAAAAAGGCAGGGTAATCTCATCACTAGGGAGGCAAAGGCAGACGGTTTCCTGTGACTTATTGGCGAGTGTAGCCTAATTAGGAAATTCCAAGCCAATGAAAAACCTTGTTTCAAAGGACATAGAAGTCATTCCTGGAAAATGACACCTAAGCTTGATTTCTGGCCTCCATATACATGCACATGCATGTATGCATACACCCACACTTACACATACACCTGTGCACACATGAGTATGCAAACACACACACGAACATATATACACACATGCATAAAACAATGTAATATGTTTAAAAACAATGGCAAGTCTATAAATAAAAGAATTATTTACAAATATCAAGTCAACTGTTTAAAAATTGAGGGTACCTATGTATAAATGAAATATAAGCAGTACCTCCGTGCTAATGTCTCAAGGAGGTTGGTGGCATTCCTAGGGAATGATGCCCGAAATTGGTCTCTAGCTTCCATATACATCTACATACATGCGCATGCAATCCTGTGCATACACATGCACTTGGACGTATGTTGGCATTGCAGGAATAGACAAGTGATTGGGAGGCTAACCACTCACCACATGAAGAATAAGCCCTGGCTCACAAAAGAGGTCACAGTTGGCTAATGCCCATGTGAATGTGCTCTGTGTAATCAAAGCAAACACACTAATAATTAAAAAAACTGTAAGTGCCATTTTTACTTAACAGGAAATTTAATTTTTTGATAAACAATATTGAATGAAAGTATTGAGAAACAAGTCTAAATGCTTGTTAGACCAAGGTTAGTTTATAGCTGAGCAGCTCTTTGGGGAATAATTTGATACACACACACACACACACACATATATATATTATTTAAAACAGGAACAAGTAATTATAAATATGTTCAATTTTTATGTGTGAAATTATGCTGTTGGCCTTATTAATGGTTGTAAGATAATGGAAATGAATTGATACTATAAAAATTAATAATATGTTATAGTCAGAATAAAGTAGTTTTATGAGAAATGTAATGTAGGAAGTTCGTTCAATTAAAGAGAACATAATAGAAAATTATAGGTAACAAAGTTTCTGCTCTCACAAAACTTGAACACTGTAAGAACATACAATGAAGGTCTCACCTCAGTGTCTAAGCAATTAGATGAGAGGAGTTCTCTGTCTACTATGTGCTGCTCTATGTTTCAAATAGGAAAATACAATTCAGCAAAATGTTTCATATGAAAATATGATTAGTGCTTTAATTATAGAGTAATTATTTTGTGATATTAGCTAGTAATAAGTCCTATCATTACATTAAATAAATAAGCCTCATTGTTAATTAGAGGTTTAAAGATTCAAGAGGAAGATTCAAAATTCATTACATTGTGAAACAAAAATGAAACAGTTGAAGGGCGGTCTGTAAGTGTACAGGGAGGTTTACATCAGGGGGAGAGGAAACCAGGAGTCTACAAGAATGTGTCTGTTAGCTGATGGTCAGATTAGGTTAGGGGTTCACCATGGCAACAGTATTGTAAGTGGTACGCAAACAAACACTTTCTCATAAAAGAGTGACGTGCATTTCATTTTTTTTACTTTGATTTTCTACTTTTCCAGTACTGATAACTCCGATAAATAGCATTTTGGGGAATAATAAAATAGTAACTGGTATAATTTTATAGTGAATTGATAACATTTTAAAGTACTGTGTGACATCAAATTGTCCTTCTATCATATCATATTGTATTGTATCATTTCATATCAGCTACTCATCTGTTATGTATATGTCATCTATCATTCGTTTATCACCATCTGTTATTCAAAATATACTAGAAGATGAGAGTGTATAAGTCTTCAGAAAGCAACCAAATATTTGAAAAGAAAGAATAGTGAGTAATATTTTCAGTACTCACTTTTAAAAGCATTTAATTGCTATTGACAAATACACATAGCAAATAGTTCTTATTATACAGACTTTTTAAAATTATTAATAACTACTATGACCTTTACCCTGTTGAATACAGTTTTCATTTAAATGGTCGGAAGAAGTTTTGGAAACCTTTACCAGTACTGACATTGCTATGTTATATGTGTGCAATAAACATAATGGGGGCAGTCTCTGGGCATTGACTACAGATGTGTTCATATTTTTTTAAAGCTCTGACTTCCTGTATATGATAATGTTTCTTTGCACAAATATAAATGTATTTAAATGCTGATTGTAAGTGAAATAATAAGGTACTACCACAATGCCTCTCAGGGAAACCTACAGTCTGACTTCTATTTCCACTAATTAGCACATATCTGTGCTTCTCTTTGTAAGCCAGTGTGCATAGATTTAAGGGCAAGATGAGATTGGAGAAAGACTGAAGGATCTTATAATTTAATTGTTTCTTTGAAAAATAGAAAAGAAGCCAGGTGTAGTAGCTCATACCCTTAATCCCAGAACATGGTGTGGAGGACATAACTCCTTTGTCATCAGCTTTGAACTCCAAACTTTAGTTCAAGTACATAAAACTTTCTTGACAATTTCCCCTTAACATTCAGTAACTAAATGGCATCTTATCTTCTAAAGCATGCAAAGGGATCAAGAGTCAAAGTCGAAACTGTCAAAAAACATACGTATGAGATACACATATCAACATTACAAAAAAAAGAGGCCATTAATTTGAAAGAGAGCAAGGAGAGGATATATGAAAGGTTTTGAGGAAGAAAAAGGAAAGGGGAAATGATGTAACTATGTTATAATTTAAAAAAAAATAATAATAATGTTTGGAAAAGAAAAGCAACATCAGAACTTATGGGCAGCTTTCAGATGGTGCAGTGGTTGGTCTGTGGTACTGCATTCTGTTTGGAGTATAGTACTGTCTTTGCAAAAGTATTTTACCCAGGATATGGACTATGGTAGCCAGGAAGAAAATATGAATATTATCAGGTTGCTTTGAGCCTTCCCTAATAGAGGGGCTGGACAAACAGCTCAGCACTGAAGAGCATGAACTGCTCTTGCAGAGGACTTGAGTTCAGTACCCAGCACCCATGGTGAATGCCTCACAACTATCTACAACTCCAGTTCCAGGAGAGATGCGGTGCCCTCTTCTGATTTCCTTCTCTCTCTCTCTCTCTCTCTCTCTCTCTCTCTCTCTCTCTCTCTCTCTCTCT